ATGCCGGTTCAATATCCTGGACTCGAACACAGGATATTGGCCATGCCGCTCAATATCCTGGACTCGAACACAGGGTATTGGCCTTGCCGGTTCAATATCCTGGACTCGAACACAGGATATTGACCGTGCCACTCAATATCCTGGATTCGAACACAGGATATTGACCATGTGGCCTCAATATCCTGGACTCGAACGCAGGATATTGGCCGTGCCGCTCAATATCCTGGACTCGAACACAGGATATTGGCTGTGCCGCTCAATATCCTGGACTCGAACACAGGATATTGGCGGTGCCGGTTCAATATCCTGGACTCGAACGCAGGATATTGGCCTTGCCGCTCAATATCCTGGACTCGAACACAGAATATTGGTGGTGCCGGTTCAATATCCTGGACGCGAACACAGGATATTGGCCCTGCCGCTCAATATCCTCGACTCGAACACAGGGTATTGGCCTTGCCGGTTCAATATCCTGGACTCGAACGCAGGATATTGGCCTTGCCGCTCAATATCCTGGACTCGAACACAGAATATTGGTGGTGCCGGTTTAATATCCTGGACGCGAACACAGGATATTGGCCCTGCCGCTCAATATCCTGGACTCGAACACAGGGTATTGGCCTTGCCGGTTCAATATCCTGGACTCGAACACAGGATATTGACCGTGCCACTCAATATCCTGGACTCGAACACATGATATTGGCCATGCCGCTCAATATCTTGGACTCGAACGCAGGATGTTGACCATGTGGCCTCAATATCCTGGACTCGAACGCAGGATATTGGCCGTGCCGCTCAATATCCTGGACTCGAACACAGGATATTGGCCGTGCCGCTCAATATCCTGGACTCGAACACAGGATATTGGCCGTGCCGCTCAATATCCTGGACTCGAACACAGGATATTGGCCATGCCAGTTCAATATCTTGGACTCAAACACAGAATATTGGCCATGCCACTCAATATCCTGGACTCGAACGCAGGATATTAGCCTTGCCGCTCAATATCCTGGACTAGAACACAGGATATTGGCGGTGCCGGTTCAATATCGTGGACTCGAACGCAGGATATTGGCCTTGCCGCTCAATATCCTGGACTAGAACAGAGGATATTGGCGGTGCCGGTTCAATATCCTGGACTCGAACGCAGGATATTGGCCTTGCCGCTCAATATCCTGGATTCAAACACAGAATATTGGTGGTGCCGGTTCAATATCCTGGACGCGAACACAGGATATTGGCCCTGCCGCTCAATATCCTCGACTCGAACGCAGGATATTGGCCTTGCCGCTCGATATCCTGGACTCGAACACAGGGTATTGGCCTTGCCGGTTCAATATCCTGGACTCGAACACAGGATATTGGCCATGCCGGTTCAATATCCTGGACTCGAACACAGGATATTGGCCATGCCGCTCAATATCCTGGACTCGAACACAGGGTATTGGCCTTGCCGGTTCAATATCCTGGACTCGAACACAGGATATTGACCGTGCCACTCAATATCCTGGATTCGAACACAGGATATTGACCATGTGGCCTCAATATCCTGGACTCGAACGCAGGATATTGGCCGTGCCGCTCAATATCCTGGACTCGAACACAGGATATTGGCTGTGCCGCTCAATATCCTGGACTCGAACACAGGATATTGGCGGTGCCGGTTCAATATCCTGGACTCGAACGCAGGATATTGGCCTTGCCGCTCAATATCCTGGACTCGAACACAGAATATTGGTGGTGCCGGTTCAATATCCTGGACGCGAACACAGGATATTGGCCCTGCCGCTCAATATCCTCGACTCGAACACAGGGTATTGGCCTTGCCGGTTCAATATCCTGGACTCGAACGCAGGATATTGGCCTTGCCGCTCAATATCCTGGACTCGAACACAGAATATTGGTGGTGCCGGTTTAATATCCTGGACGCGAACACAGGATATTGGCCCTGCCGCTCAATATCCTGGACTCGAACACAGGGTATTGGCCTTGCCGGTTCAATATCCTGGACTCGAACACAGGATATTGACCGTGCCACTCAATATCCTGGACTCGAACACATGATATTGGCCATGCCGCTCAATATCTTGGACTCGAACGCAGGATGTTGACCATGTGGCCTCAATATCCTGGACTCGAACGCAGGATATTGGCCGTGCCGCTCAATATCCTGGACTCGAACACAGGATATTGGCCGTGCCGCTCAATATCCTGGACTCGAACACAGGATATTGGCCGTGCCGCTCAATATCCTGGACTCGAACACAGAATATTGGCCGTGCCGCTCAATATCCTGGACTCGAACACAGGATATTGGCCATGCGGCCTCAATATCCTGGACTCAAACGCAGGATATTGACCGTGCCGCTCAATATCCTGGACTCGAACACAGGATATTGGCCATGCCGCTCAATATCCTGGACTCGAACACAGGGTATTGGCCATGCGGCCTCAATATCCTGGACTCGAACGCAGGATATTGACCGTGCCGCTCAATATCCTGGACTCGAACACAGGATATTGGCGGTGCCGGTTCAATATCCTGGACTCGAACGCAGGATATTGGCCTTGCCGCTCAATATCCTGGACTCGAACACAGAATATTGGTGGTGCCGGTTCAATATCCTGGACGCGAACACAGGATATTGGCCCTGCCGCTCAATATCCTCGAATCGAACGCAGGATATTGGCCTTGCCGCTCGATATCCTGGACTCGAACACAGGATATTGGCCATGCCGCTCAATATTCTGGACTCGAACACAGGGTATTGGCCTTGTCGGTTCAATATCCTGGACTCGAACACAGGATATTGGCCATGCCGCTCAATATCCTGGACTCGAACACAGGGTATTGGCCTTGCCGGTTCAATATCCTGGACTCGAACACAGGATATTGACCGTGCCACTCAATATCCTGGACTCGAACACATGATATTGGCCATGCCGCTCAATATCCTGGACTCGAACGCAGGATGTTGACCATGTGGCCTCAATATCCTGGACTCGAATGCAGGATATTGGCCGTGCCGCTCAATATCCTGGACTCGAACACAGGATATTGGCCGTGCCGCTCAATATCCTGGACTCGAACACAGGATATTGGCCATGCGGCCTCAATATCCTGGACTCAAACGCAGGATATTGACCGTGCCGCTCAATATCCTGGACTCGAACACAGGATATTGGCCATGCGGCCTCAATATTCTGGACTCGAACACAGGGTATTGGCCTTGTCGGTTCAATATCCTGGACTCGAACACAGGATATTGGCCATGCCGCTCAATATCCTGGACTCGAACACAGGGTATTGGCCTTGCCGGTTCAATATCCTGGACTCGAACACAGGATATTGACCGTGCCACTCAATATCCTGGACTCGAACACATGATATTGGCCATGCCGCTCAATATCCTGGACTCGAACGCAGGATGTTGACCATGTGGCCTCAATATCCTGGACTCGAATGCAGGATATTGGCCGTGCCGCTCAATATCCTGGACTCGAACACAGGATATTGGCCGTGCCGCTCAATATCCTGGACTCGAACACAGGATATTGGCCATGCGGCCTCAATATCCTGGACTCAAACGCAGGATATTGACCGTGCCGCTCAATATCCTGGACTCGAACACAGGATATTGGCCATGCGGCCTCAATATCCTGGACTCGAACGCAGGATATTGGCCTTGCCGCTCAATATCCTGGACTCGAACACAGAATATTGGCCGTGCCGGCTCAATATCTTGGACTCGAACACAGGGTATTGGCCGTGCCAGCTCAATATCCTGGACTCAAATGCAGGATATTGACCTTGCCGCTCAATATCCTGGACTCGAACGCAGGGTATTGGCCATGCCGCTCAATATCCTGGACTCAAACGCAGGATATTGGCCTTGCCGGTTCAATATCCTGGATTCGAACACAGGGTATTGGCCGTGCCGGCTGAACGCTCCGACGCAGCTATTACGAGTCTCCCTTAGAGAGAGAAAGCGAGTGAGAGAGCAAGAGGGCTGGCTAAGCACTCTACACATTTGCAAGGGGTTGAGAGTTCAGATCCTGGTAGGGGGTCGTCTCAGCTCATTATCCTCATTTACCATCATCACCATCAATCATCGTAAACATCCACAGTCGTTATCACCACCCCCTCCGTGGTCATTAAATAAGAAAAAAAATATTCGTGTAATTGATTTAAACAATAGCGTAGGGCTGGCGCACTTTTGCTACGAGCCCAGCGACAATGAGTTGGACTTTTTATTTTACCAGGTAAGGGCCCAACTCAGCTGTGTAGCCGTTTCTTTTTTTCAGAAGCGACCCTGGCGATCACAAATGATGGCTCAACGAAGCGGTTTATCGCGTGGAAAGTTACAGCAGTCAAATACTCTAAACGCCATGCTGTTGATTCTAAATGTGGAAGGGAAAAACCCAGAGGACCCGGGGAAAAATCCACACGACCTCAGGGAGAGAGAGAGACGTGAAAACTGTAAATATACAACAGGCGCGTCAGGGTCGGGATCGAACCCACGACCTCCTGTTTACTAGGCGAGGGAGTTAACATCTCGCCACCGTGGCACCCTGCGTCACTGCCATGGCTAACATCAGTGGCGGAGTGATATCTGAACTGGCCGTGGTGGGCACCCACCCCCTTCACCAACCCCGTACTGACCAGCGCGGTGAAGTATGGTCAAACGACTCCCATAACCGACACCCATGGGGACACCTTCATCCCAGTAGTGGATTACGCATGGGCCTGTGAATTACAAATTATGATTTACTAAATAAATTTACAAATTACATTAAATTTACAAGTTAAATTATACTTTACGATAATAAAAAAATTATAATTCACTAATTATAATTCATACGTTATAATTTACACCAAGTCTCAAGGCAATGTTTCAGGAGTACCCTTCGCTCACTGGCTTCCGCTCCTCACTCAAAACTCACGTCTTTTCCCTCGCTCACCCCAAGACCACCCCCTGAATCTCCCCCCCACATTAATCACCAACAGGCTACTGTTCCCTCTTTATATTCATGGTCATCACTCATTTCTTCCATTCATTCAATCCATTCATCATCATTTACAGTCATCAATTTCGCTTTCACCGATTTCACGCATCACCACAGATTCGCCCCCATCGCTAGCTGTCATCTCTTTCATTCACCTCATCTCTGCGCGTCGACCATCAACTCATTCCCCTGCGACCTTCACTCGCTCCGCTCGTCGACCATCAACTCATTCCCCTGCGACCTTCACTCGCTCCGCTCGTCGACCATCAACTCATTCCCCTGCGACCTTCACTCGCTCTGCTCGTCGACCATCAACTCATTCCCCTGTGACCGTCACTCGCTCCGCGCGTCGACCATCAACTCATTCCCCCTGCGACCGTCACTCGCTCTGCTCGTCGACCATCAACTCATTCCCCACCGACCGTCACTCGCTCTGCTCGTCGACCATCAACTCATTCCCCCTGCGACCTTCACTCGCTCTGCGCATCGACCATCAACTCATTCCACTGTGAGACCGTCACTCGCTCCGTGCGTCGACCATCAACTCATTCCACTGTGAGACCGTCACTCGCTCCGTGCGTCGACCGTCACTCGCTCCGCGCATCGACCATCAACTCATTCCACTGTGAGACCGTCACTCGCTCCGTGCGTCGACCGTCACTCGCTCCGCGCGTCGACCATCAACTCATTCCACTGTGAGACCGTCACTCACTCCGCGCGTCGACCGTCAACTCATTCCACTGTGAGACCGTCACTCGCTCCGTGCGTCGACCGTCACTCGCTCCGCGCGTCGACCATCAACTCATTCCACTGCGACCGTCATTCGATCTGAGCATCAACTGTCAACTCATTCCCCTGCGACCATCACTCGCTCCACGCGCCCACCGTCAACTCATTCCCCCTGCGAACCCCTTTACACCTGGTGGAAGTCGCGGAAGCAGCCAAAGCGGCACAGCGGCACGTCGCAGATGCCGCAGCCGAACGACGTCTGCACCTGGCGCCCGGCGCGCGTCTTGCGGCCGTGCCGGGAGCACAGGCGGCACACCTTCTTGCCGCGGGCGGTGCGGACCAGCCGGTGCGCCGACATGTTCTCGGCGCTCACGTAGGACACCACCTGGCGTGATCGCTTGCCCTTGTGGTGCCCCATGCGTCGGTGACCTCCGCGCAGCTGCTCCGCCAGGTCGACGCGGAACTGCGGCGGGGGGCAGGGAGTGAAAGGGGGGTCAGTCGATCGGTCAAGTCAACAGCGGTTTAATTGATTACTTTTCATATTTAGTTACCTGCTTGCCATTTTCTCATTTTTTTAAAATTCCCATCGGTTTTATGTTGTTGCATTGTCTGCCGTTGTCACTTCCTCATGTGGCCAGCGTGAGCTTACCCGTGATGAATGGGACGTGTAAATCGTGCACTCCGCTACGTGTTGCCGTACATTGCTGCGGGGAGAGTAGACGCTCATCATCTCCGGAGTTTATTATTGTTATTGTTGTCTATTTAGCCGACCTGTCCCCACCTCGTGACGATTCACGTGACAATTCGCGCCGGCTATGCTGACCCGCACCACACTGGACATCATCGGATTCCTCCCGTCTAAATAAAGATCCTGAGATGATTAATTAGTTAAGCAAATGACTTGTGACTCGCCGCTCGCTCTCAAAGAGGAACCGCAGAGCGGGCGGGAAGGCAGCGGCCAGGGCGGTGAACCGGCGATACCAAACAGCTGCCCAATCTCTGCGGTCCTCTGTATATTTTAAATGTTTTCAGCCGCTCAATGAGCGTGCATGTGGGAGGAAATCGGAGCGTCTGGAGAAAAACCACGTGTGCGAGGGGGCAACAGATAGAGTTCACTTTTGCTGTACTGCGACGCAGGGTTATTACACCCCGACGCTCACGGGCAGGGAGTTTCGGAACTTCTGGTTGATCCACCAACCCTCGTCTCCGCAGGGAGGGTTTAAAGGTCACGTGCGTAGCCACCACCGCTCGGCTAGTTGCTGAACACAGGCACAAAGTACCAAATTGCCAAGCGGCCAGCAACTAAACAGAGGTCACAAGCTAAAGTATTTTACTAGGTAAGGCCCCACTGAGCTCCTATCTAGCTCTTTTTTAAGAAGCGACCTGGCTATCACAAATGATAGCTCAACGAAGTGGCTTATCGTGTGGAAGTGTATAGCAGCCAAATACTCTTAAGCGCGTGATGTTGATTCCAAATGTGGAGGGGAAAACCCGGAGGACCCGGAGAAAATTCCGTGTGACGCGAAAGCCTACTACTACGTGGTGTTATAAAGCCTACGTGTTAAGGCCTAAGCCTTAACCTGTAAGTGGTCCATAATATAGCTGTGTCGTTAAACCCGCCACCACCCGACACAAGTAAGGTTTCTCACCTAAACAAAACATGCCAATTCGTTAACAGTAAAGCACACCGGTGGGTTGGAGAGTAAAACCCACACCATTTACAATTCGAGTCACCGTGATGTTTCGCCAGTAATTACAACTCGCATCACCAGAGTTGTGGAGAAACCCTCCTGCTTCCGTCTTACTAATTGGCCACGTCGGGTGGTGGCAGGATTTGACGACACATTCACACGTCACGCGATCGAACCCCCCGCGACTACCACGCGTTAAAGTGACCTGGAAGTGGTCGTAATTCTTGGGCATGGGAGGCTCGTGCGGGGACTCGCGGTAGAGCAGCCAGGCGTTGACGATGCTCAGGTTGAGCAGGAACCACACGATGTAGCGCCACCACTTCTTGGAGGCGCGCCCCACCGCGTAGTAGCTCCGGTACTGGTCCGAGCGGTCGACGCCGCCCATGAACCTGTTGTAGTGCACCACGGGCGCCGGCTTGATGGGACCCTCGTCCACGGGGCGCACCATGCGAGGGTCCTGGTTGGTGGAGAGCGTCGCCACCACGCGCTTGTCACGCCACACCGACAGCACGAGACCACCCTTCTGGAAGAACGCGACGTCGCCGCGGTGGCGGAGCAGCGACGCGACCTCCCGGGCGGGCGGCGGCAGTCCCCGGCGGCTCAGGCTGACGGTGCCGCAGGCGTAGGTGCCGCAGCGGGAGCGCAGGTCCTCGAGGAGCGCCGGCGAGGAGAAGTAGCGGTCGAAGTAGAGGTGGTGGTTGCGGTGCCAGTAGGAGCGGGTGAGGCTCATGACGACGCGGTAGCCCAGGCTGCCGGACTCCGCCGGCGCGGGGGTGGCGACAGCGGCGAGCATCGTGGTGCGAGGAGCCGCGTTGCTGGTGCTGTGAGCGGTGCTGTCGGTGACGCTATGGGCAGTACTATTGGTGACGCTCTGAGCAGTACGATCAGTCACGCTATGAGCAGTACAATTCCCGACAGTTGGAGCAGCGCTACTGCTGGTACTGTGAGAAGTGTAACCGCCGATGCTCCGAGCGGCAACACTGACGACGCTAAGGGGAACACGGTTCCCGGCGCTGCGAGCACTACCATGGCCGATCCTGTGAGCAGCGCTACTGGGGATACCACGAGCAGTCGAGCTACTCTCGACGAGGCCACGGGGAGGAGTGCCGTCGACGCAGCGAGCGGCGCCGTTGGACGGGATGCCGCAAGCGGTCACGCTCGCATCGGCGGCAAGGTGGCGAGCGCCGCCAGCCGATGTGGTGCGTCCATCAAGGCTGCCGCCACCGGCACCAGCGGGGCCGCAAGTGCCGCCGCCTGCGCCGGCGAGCGCAGCGCCGGCAGCTCCGCGAACGCCAGAATCGTCCGCTGCTTCGTCAGCACCGCCGACAGCGTCATCGGCACCAGCGGGGCGACTGCTAAGACCACCATGGGCAGCACCACCGATGCCACCACCACCACCACCACTGTTATGAGCATCACCGATGCCACCACAACCACAACCACCATCATAAGCATCACCGATGCCACAACCACCACAACCACCATCATAAGCATCACCGATGCCACCACAACCACTATCATAAGCACCACCGATGCTACCACAACCACCATCATAAGCATCACCGATGCCACCACCACCATCACGAATATCACCGATGCCACCACCACCGCCATCATCATAAACATCACCAATGCCACCCCAACCACCATCATAAGCATCAGTGATGCCACCACCACCACAACCACCATCATAAGCATCACCGATGCCACCACCACCACCACTATCATAAGCACCACCGATGCTACCACAACCACCATCATAAGCACCACCGATGCCACCACAACCACCATCATAAGCACCACCGATGTCACCACCACCAACACGACCAGCCAGAGTCCCACCAGCTGCACGTGTGGCACCCGCAGCAATGGCAGCGGCACCGTGGGCAAAAGCAGCAACAGTGCCACCTCCAAGGGCGGTAGCACCTGCAGCGCTGCAGTCGGCACCAGCACCAGTTGTCTGGTGAGCAGCACGGATAGTGACGCTAGCAGCCCCATCGCTGTGAGCACTGCCCTGACTTCGGGAGTAAACACAAGCAGCCGCACACTGAGCACCGCCAGCACAAGCAGTGCTGACAGCACCAACAGCTCTACCGTTAACAGCGCCAGCGCCGCCACGGCCGTCGGCACTGCCACCAAAAGCACCAGCGCCACTAGCACTGCCACCACCATAAGCAGCACTACCACCAGTCCTACCACTATTGGCACCACTAGCACCACAAGTGCCAACACCACCACCACAGCTAACCGTATCACCATGAGCACCGTCAGTACCATGAGCCCTGCCACCAAAAGCACCAGCGCCACTAGCAGCAGCACCACCATAAGTAGCACCACCACCACCAGTCCTACCACTATTGGCACCACCATCACAAACGTCACCACCACCGCCACCGCTCGCCATATCACCACAAGCACCACCACTACCATGAACCCTGCCACCATACGCACCAGTGTCACTAGCACCACCACCACCACCAGCCCTACCACCGTTGGCACCACTAGCACCATCACCATCACAAGCGCCACCACCACCACCGCTCGCCATATCACCACAAGCGCCACCGCCGTCACCGGCGGCATCTGCAGTCGTGGCAGCGCCGTAGGCGGAGCGCCCGGTGTAGATGTCGAAGTTGAGGCAGTAGCCGGTCTGCGCCTCGCACAGCTCCCACACCTTGACGCCCCACTTGGTGGGCTTGGCGGGCATGTGCTGCTTGAAGAAGAGGCGCCCCTTGAAGGGGATCATGCCCTCGTCCACGCTGAGCTCGCGCCGCGGGGAGTAGTGGCGCGAGAAGTTGGCGCGCACCTCCTCCACCACGTTGCGCACCTGGGGGCGCCGCGGGTGTCAAGCAGCGGTAGCAGCAGCAAGCAGCAGCAGGAGAGGCAGCAGCAGAAGTAGCAGCAGCAAGCAGCAGAAAAGGCAGCAGCAGCAGAAGTAGCAGCAGAAGCAGGAGAGGCAGCAGGAGAAGCAGGGGAATCATCGACAGCAGAAGCAGGAGAAGGAAAATCAACAGAAGAAGCAGGAGAATAAGCAGAAGCAGCAGGAGAAGCAGGAGAAGCAACAGGAGAAGCAGCAGCAGAATAGAATAATCGACAGCAGAATCAGGAGATGCAGCAGGAGAAGCAGGAGAAGCAACAGAAGCAGAAGCAGCAGGAAAAGCAGCATCACCAACTATGTTTAAAATGCACACGATGGAAACGCAAACGAAAACAAACCATCTCCTCTTGCTGACTCCATCTACGACGCGTTCCTCCCACTCTCTATTCCTTTGAAGAACCTCCAAGTCGCTTACCCTATCGTGCCATCATAAACCTTCCAGCAGCAACACATTCCACGAATACACCTTGTAACCCACACACGTAGGCCTTGTAACAAAGACAAAGATCCTCCCTATAGCCTTCACAGACTATTGGGGCAAATGCTGTTAGCGAACACATATGAAGGCACACACAGACACGCGTAGCAAACACACACAGACACGTGTAGCAGACATAAACAGACACGTGTAGCACACACACACGCGCAGCACACACACACACGCATAAGCACCACCTTTAGCATGAGCCCTGCCACCATCAGCACCAGTGCCACTAGCACTACCACCACCATAAGCAGCACGACCACCAAGCCCAACCACCTTTGGGGCCGTCCATAAATGACGTCACGCACCTGGGGGGGGGGGGGGTCAGACATTTGTGACGATGTGTGACGAGGGGGGGTTGAGAAATGTAACGTCACATCAAAATGCGCACCTTTAAATAAATATAGACAACACGTTCTACTTAATTAAATATACTTTTTAATAAATGTTTTCTCCTACAACGTCAGAGTGCAGCGCCACATTAAATACGCACTACAATGACAATAGTTTAAAGCGATTTGAAGCATGTTTTATTTTTGGGGGGGGGGGGCAGAGCTTTGTGACGTCATATTTGAGGGGGGATCTGACTTTTTGTGACGCTGTGTGACGAGGGGGGGGTCAAAAATCGTCCAAAATCGCGTGACGTCATTTATGGACGGCGCCTTTGGCACCACCAGCACCACCACCGCCAGCCATATCATCACACTCACCACCGCGCTCACCTTGTAGATGGGGTCGTATCCCCGCTGGCCGCGAGCGGGCGTCCCCACGTTGTTGCGCGCGTGCAGGTACTGGCTGACCTTCGAGTAGCGCGTGTGGGTCATGGTGCCGGACACCCACTCGCAGCGCAGCGCCGGGTTGCCCGACCAGTAGCACCAAACGCGCGGCAGGTCCTTGATGCCCATCATGATGGCCACGGCGAAGAAGGCTTTCATCTCGCGAGACGTCGTGGGCGACCAGAGCGGGTCAGCTTTGCCGCTCTCGGCGATTTTCTGCTCGGCGTAGCGATTGGTTTCCTGTGCGAGGGTGGGTGGGTAGCGACAGTCGTCCGTTCGCTCGGTCACTCGGTTGACCGTCGACAATGACGATGACGACGAGCGTAATGATGGTGGTTTTTTAATTTCGGTTTTTTCACTTGTTAGGTATAACCCTGTGAGCCATGCGGCTCTTGACTCGGGTGCAACCGCAACAAAACAAAAACATGAACAAGAGACATCTTAAAGTGACTACACGCCACAGAAAAATTCTGGAAAAAAACAGCAAAGTCTTCCAGAAAAAACACCGCATTTCAACGCTGTGTGCAAAAAATCCCAGTGGGATGCAAGTCAAACGATAACAACCATGAGACAATGTAGATTAAATTTATCAGGCGAACTCTGTACTACAACAAACAAACATGGCTAAACCAAAACGTTTTCAAAATCACCAATATAAAGCTATAAAAAGAATGTAACAGTCATCAATGGTGCTCGGAAAGGCCAAATGGAGTTTACAAGAAGTCACGACCGCCTGAAATCATGGAAAACCCGAGCGCAAAACAGATTTGACACAACCCCAGACCGCATCCGCTGCACAAAACTGTGGCAGTGGCAGCGGCGGCAGCCGACAATGCGGATTCTCGATGATGCTCAAATTAGGACGTTCAAAACTCTCCGTTGTGCGGTGGCCGTGGGTCACCCAGGACAGGTCACGGAAGGTGAAACGACTCGACGTCCGGTTCACAAACACGAAGGGGGTGTCCATGCAGAGACAGTCCACCCCGCTACTCCCGACGCAATGAAGTGGCTCAGCCGACCCGATGTGAAATTAAAGCTGTCGCTCGACACCAGTGTCAGCCATACGAAGGAGAGTACTCGGTTAACCCGTAACTAGGTCGGGCAGTAGCTCATTCACTCAGTTGCTCAGTGGCCCATTCACTCAGTCGCACACTCAATCAGTCACTCAGTTACTTATTCAATCAGTTACTAGTTCAGTCACTCAGTCGCTTCGTCACTCAGTTAATAATTCAGTCACGCAGTTACGTATTCACTCAGTCAGTTAGTGGCCCACTCACTCACTCGCTCATTTACTGGCACCAGTAAAATCCAAATGTCGTCTTCCAGATTAGGCCCCCACATCGGGCACAATCGATCCGCGGATAAAGAGGGAGTCGCGTGGCAAAAGCATCAGGAGTGTGCAGGACCGGTCCAGATATCACCCGCCACTTTTGTTCGAGCCATGGTGAGGAAGCGAACTTGGTGCAAAAAGTGAAAGGTGTTCGATGCGGTTACGTTGGCTGTGGTCAGATATCGAACTGACTAAAAAAGAAAGCGGTAAGGAAAGCATTGTGTTTTTTTTTGGTTTATATCGGGGCTGCCATTCAGGCGTCGCGCTTGGCCAACACAAAAAAAAAAACCAACAGAAAGGAAAGGGCTTTAAGAGTTTCCCGCCCGACCTGAGTGAAGACGTCGATCAGACGATCTGGCCAGAAGAGCATGAAGTAGTCAAGCACGGAGGCGTCGAGCGGGAGGCCGTGACTGGGACCGGCGCTCTCCGTGAACGGCGCCACCACCACATCGCGGAGCTCGCGGCTCCACGACGGCGCCTCCAGATGAGGCTTGCGCGAGGCCTCCTCCACACCAACACCACCACCATCGTAACCATTGTCGTCGTCATCGTCGTCATCATCGCCGTCGTCGCTGTCGCACGCATTCTGCTCCATCGGCCTGGCCATCGCAAAGACAGGCGTCGTGAATGTTAGGATGGTGGTGGTGATGATGGTAGAGATGCTGCTGCTGAGGGTTCTGATGTTAGGATGGTGGTGATGGTGATGGTGGTGGAGATGCTGCCGCTGAGGCTTGATGTTAGGATGGTGATGATGGTGATGATGGTAGAGATGCTGCCGCTGAGGGTTGATGTTAGAATGATGATGGTGATGATGGTAGAGATGCTGCTGCTGAGGGTTCTGATCGAATTGATGTTGATGAAAGGGTCAAACTTATTCCTATTTTTTCACACTTGATGTTGATGCTTGCTGCTGCTGATGGTGCTGTCGCTGACTGTGAAGGGAATGTTGATGTCGCTGACAATTACGATTCAGCTCGTGCCAATGGGTGTAATAAGGCAGCCCAATGATGGTGACGTCACAGCCGTGCCGTCAATGACGACGTGACACTTTCCGATTACGAATCACATCACAGTCAAGCTAACAACTTTGCTGTGGTCCCAGATGGTGATGATGACGCTGCTTCCTTCCACTGCTGCCCAGCCATGGATTTCAACTCCGACAATTTCACGACGACGTCTTCCTTACCACCCTTGCTCCTGCACGCCCAACATGGGCTCGTCCTGCGGCGCTCCTCCTCGCTCGACGTCGTCCACATCCACGTCGCTCTCGTCTTCGCCCTCGCCGCTAACCTGGGGCCCCCTACTGCCGATCGCAGGGGGCCCCCCTCTCGCGGCGCTCCCCGCCGACGGCTCGGGCTCGCATCGCGCTCCCGCTGTCGCACCGGCAGCGGACAAGGAGCTGGCGCGGCCGTAGTAGCCCGTGTCATCCGCGCTGAGATCCATGGCTCGCTGCTAGGGATGCATCGACGATCAGTGGCGTGACGAGCGTGGGGGGGCCTTACTTACCCTCCTGCACCCTCACCCCCTGGTGGCCAAAGCTACGAGTTGCCCGGGCTCCCTTCCCCCAACCCCCCCCCCCCCCACCTTGATAACCACCATGAGATTTGTTTTCAACAACAGTGTCGAAGAACAACACGAACAACTCATTTAAAACGGAGTGCCCCTACAGCGTTAAGTGCTCGAGACCGTGAGCGCAACGATGATGCGATTCGGCAAAGCGGAGCCGCGATATAGAACAGCCTCTAGGTGCGAGACCAATCACAATATTGGATGACCCCACACCTGAACCCATTGCCGCAGCCCCCCTGAGCTGATGATGTCGTTAACTATGCCACCGATTGACGATGATACCTGTACAGCTATTGTGTATATGATTGTGTCTCGTTTAGCAAAGTACAATATTTACAAGTTTTATTGTCCGTGTTTGATATTGTTGTTATTGTTACCACGAAGAGGCTGCATGCAACTGCACTGATTTTGAAATGTACTTCCGCTTGTCAAAGATATAATAACGAACGATAGGAATCGTATAGGTGCCTTTGTCTGGCTCGATGAGCTTCAGAAAATAACAATGCACCCTAATAAGAGTAAATGGAGCCTTAAGTATTAACACTGAACTATTAGTATCCTAAAACATTATTCATCTGGCCCTATAAACCTCAGAAATTAACAATGAATCACACAAATGTTCATGGATGACCCTGGCATTTAACATTGGGCTACTCAGGCGCAACGGCTTAGCTGATCACAGAGTGCTGATGAGACCCAGCGAAGTTGAAACTGGTGCACCTTTTTCCCGTGAAATAATGAATGTGTAAAATATGCGGTAGTTATGCATTGCTCATTAATTCACATTATATTTTATTTAGATAGCAAAGCCGCCGATGATCGATGCATTTAAATTATTACTTTATTGTCATTAAATATGTACTTTAATGATAATTGAAATATGGATTGTAGCGTGTAATTACTACAGTAAGTATAAATATTTAATCCTTTCAAGTGTCAGTCACCACAATTATTTCTGCAGGATGGAAGATTGTGAACATCGTGTTACATTCAAAACGTGCCCGCTCAATCTCCTGATCACAGCCCTGGATCAGTGGTGGAAATTCCACATTGCCCTGACAGGGGTAAGTCCATCCACAGAACTCGCACATTTGACTTATCCAGGAGTGGTACTGAATGTATCGACCCTTGATGGGATGGATGGTGATCTAAGCTTACCCCTGATCCCATGATTTGAACTTGTGACCTTGAAATTGTGAAACGCGATTTAATAAACCTAAAATAATGTTCAAAATGGCAGGTTAAATTGTATGTTTAACATTTTTTTTTAACGAACAGAAATGTAATCGCCAAATGAACCTATTGCTTTGAGCACTATTTCGTAATTAATACGGTCAAGTATAAATGATTGTACTTTGTATAAGCTGACGGTGGTGGTAGTGGTTGTGTGATAGTGGTGGCGGTGGCGACAGTGGTCATGATGACATGGCTGGTGGTGGTGCTGCTGGTGCTAACGATGGTTCTGGCGATTGTGGTGGTGGTCGTGTTTATGGCGATATGGCTGGTGGTGGTGCTAACGATGGTTCTGGTGATTGTGGTGGTATTTATGGTGGTATTTTTGGTGGTAAGTGTGAGGGTTGGTCCACTCCACCAAAGCCAGTCCGTGCCGCAGTGAACTGATTTAGAATGATCAACCGTTCACACAACGCGTTGCCACAACTCAAACACAACACAGATATTATTCCAGAGTTAACAATACTACTGCAAATGCCATCACAGCAATGATAGCAACAATAAATGACACTGCAATTAGAACACAAATATTAAACTGACTCTGCACTACGCTACAGTAGGCTCAGTTGCTATGGAGACCATTGCCATGGAGACGAGAGGGCGTGAGTTGCCATGGCAACAAGATAAGCAATGGCAGTGCCTAATGATCAGCAAGATGTCTTGTGTACAGGCAAACTGGCTTAGATTATGGCCAAAAACACCCCAAATCTACATCACTTCGAGCTCCACTCTGCTTTAAATAAATCAAATGCCTTCCCATTCATAGGTAAAGACTATGACTCCCCATGTCAGCATTCAGTATCATGGGTTAATGCTGCCCCTTTAGTCTGGGGAGAGACAGAGAGAGGGGCATAGAGAAAGAGAGAGGCTGATATGTCTGGCACATTTTCTGCATTAATTATAATGTATACAGATTCAATGCAATGCCCGTATGTGTGTGTTAGACCTGTGTGGAGCGTACGGCTGTGTATGTCCGTGTCTATTTGCACGTGTGCCTGTGTGTACATGTGATGTGTGTGCGTGTATGTGTGAGCTGGAGTGAGGAGCTCACAAATCCTTGAAAGATCTGGGCAAAGTCCCATCGGTGAGCTCCTCCGGCAGGCAAGGCTGCGTTGGCTGGGCCATGTAGCCCGCATGCCCAGCCACCGCATGCCTAAACAGCTTTTGTTCGGCCGGATCGAGGGGGCTAAATAGGATCTGCACGGGCTAGAGAAGAGATGGAGTGATGTGGTACAGGAGGACGTGGAGCTGAGTGGACTTGCCGATGACTGGTCCCAGCGGTGTCAAGATCGGCCTCAGTGGAGGAGGCTCGTGAAGGACGCTACTGGGCAGTGCCAGGCTAGGTGCACCTTGAGGCTACTGGGCAGTTGGAGGCAGTCGCCCTCCAACAACAACGGAGGGCGGAGGAGCGACGCTCACAACAACGAGCGGAGCGCCGGGTGGCTAAAGCGCAGCAAGTTGGCAGAATAGGGGGCACAGGTGGTGCATCAGCCAGTCGTCTCGGTCATCTCAGTCAGTCGACCCGTGGCACCTGCTGGGTCTGCCCCGTGACCTCCTGCCAGCGGGCGTTCGACACTTCACGTGGCCTCAAGGTGCACCTAGCCTGGCACAAGCGTCGTGGTGATGACACCGCCACTTAGTGGCGAATTGCGGTTGTTGTGAGCTGGAGTGTGTCGGTCAGCGCCCCTGCGCTACGAACCCGATTCCCGCTCACGGCCAACATCGGTGACGATGATTTGAACCGATCCTGGGCCTCCCCCTGGGTCTACTCAGCCTCAAATTAGTACCTGGTGCAGCGGGTGAACATTGGCACTGGGGAGACAAAGGCTGCGCTGGGCATGGTGCGGAACATACCACCCCCTGGCATGCGATCCTGGTCTTAATAGGTGCTCGCTAACAGAACCCTGTGTAGGCTTTTTTCTGTGTTATCATGGTGTCTGATTATTTTCGAGCCGTGGATTTTCACAGGGCCAATTTGGGATCGTTTAGTTCCTGCAAGAAGACACCAAATAAAATGTCTTCGTGCGAACAAATATTGGCGTTACTCAATGCCATGTTTTAGAATCTATCCCACAAAGTGTATCCGGTACCATCATCCGATTATTTTTAGGCAGACAGCATTTTACCCGAAAAGTGTTTTGAATAACCCAAGTATTTGGAACACATCCCAAGCCTTTATCTATCAATGTCTGTCCATGTGTGCACCTCTGTGATTCGTGTGTACGTATCTCTGTCAATGTGTGTAATCAATCCTGTACGTCTGTGCATGTGTCTGCATGTGTCTGCATGTGTTTGTATGTATATAAGGACGCGACTGGGTAGTTGGAGGCAGTCGCCCCTCTAGCAACAACGGGGGACAGAGGAGCGACGCTCACAACAACGAGCGGAGCGCTGGGCGACTAAAATACAAGTTGGCACATTTGGGGGGCAGAGGTGGTGCATCTCCCAGTCATCTCAGTTAGCCAACCCATGGCACCTGCTGGGTCTGTCCCGAGACCTCCTGCTGGTAGCGAGCCTTCGACACTTCAAGTGGCCTCAACGTGAACCTAGCCTGGTACAGGCGCTGTGGTAACGTCACCACCACTTGGTGGCGAATGGCGCTGGGTATTGGTATTGGTGTGATTGTAGGTGTTATAGTGTGTGTGTATGCATGTTCTTGCGTATGCATGTCTGTGACTCGTATATCTTGTGTGCATTGTGTATGGCTGTATTTGTCTACATCTGTGATTGTGTCTTTGTAGCACATTTATGTGTGTGTGTTTCAGGTAAGGGAGGTACTGCCCAGATTCCATTTTCCCTTGCGCGTCTTTCACAGCAGAGGTGTAATCATGGCCTACATCTCAGCGTTTTTGCCCTGGTCAAGGCCGACGATACCACCTAGAGCTTGTCTTTGGGGTCTTCAATCCTCTCTGCTCATGATCATCACACACGTTCGAGATGGTCGGGAGGCAGTGTCCATCCTCTGTGCGCCTCGGGGTTACAACATGAACCTCCTCTGGGGTGCTACATTACAGGCGAACTCCTCTTATCCACAGCCTCATTATCCGCGATTCCTGTTATCATGGCAGCTGTAGGGTCTGCAAAACTTCGTATTATCGGCGGATCTACGGTCTTCCTGTTATCCGCGATTTTACCCATATTGTATAGCGAAGCGGCTTCCTCATCGCCACATGTCCACGCATAAGAGGAGTCGGCACTGCAAATTCATCCTATTATCCGCAGGGGTTATCGACGATATTCCACCCCACGGATAATAGGAGCAAAGTCGCACATAACCCCCTAGATAATAGGATCCGCGATATCGGAGTTTTGTATTTCATGCATAAATATATAATTAAAATCTATCTTCTTGGTTCTTTCGGTAAAAGTCACGTAGAAAAAAAAACATACTAAAATACAATTCTCACGACGTTTCGGCCACAACACAAGCAGCCGTCCTCAGGTGAAGAACAGGGCTGTCGGAAAGACAGCGTCCATTCTTTCCGACAGCCCTGTTTTTCACCTGAGGACGGCTGCTTGCGTTGTGGCCGAAACGTCGTGAGAATTGTATTTTATTATATTTATTTTTATTATTTTATTATTTCCCTTCTACGTGACTTTATCAAAAGAACCAAGAAGACGAATCCCTGCAGTCACGAAAGCTTTAAATCGAAATAAAAAATCTAATAAAGATATGACGAGAGGCTGATCAAAATGCCTGGATGCAGTCGAGTGATGGCTCCCTACTGGTCACCAATGTTTATGCATCGCTGATGACCTGGCAATCTGGCTGCGAACTGTAAATACGCGTGTCGAACTTCTTTCGCACCATACGTCGCCAACCGTGCTGACCGGAGGTGCGTGGAAGGACACACAAACTTAGCACAAGAAGCAATTATCAAGCGAACGGTTCTGATAAGTAGCTTGCCGAAGCAAGATCTGCCCCCCAAACTCAGAGACGGGGGCTTTTAACCACGAGAACCACCAACAGAAGGACCTTATGGCGGGACCTCGGGGTCCCATAAGCCCCCGGCTCTCGCATAAACCGCGTTGCGACGTCATTTTATGTCTGTTGAAGGCGAATGGTGCGGCAATCGATTCCTCTCGACGAGCTCTACACGATGCGCTAATCGAAGTTTCAAAGTTGTGTTTCTTTTTCGCATTCGTCCTCTTGGATGACGCGACAACAGAACGATCCGCGCCAGGCGGGTCGCGGCGTTTATTACTTAAACAGGACCCTGCGGGGTGGGCTGGTAGGAACGAATAACCAAAGAATATAAACATAATGTATTATTACACTTGTTTAGCCAGGAAAGCCCCACTGAGTCTAAAGGTTTTTCTAGGGTCCTGCCAAGTGTTTGCAGTAGGGGGCGATGTTGCTACACCTAATCGGATGATACGAAGGGAGAGTTTGAGGCCTAGTTCTAGGCTTTAGGCCTAGCTGTAGGCTTTAGGCCGCTGTGAGTTAATTTTTAATTTAAATGTTTTAATTATTTATGTAAAAGCTTTAAATGTAAATGTTTCTATTTAAAAACATCAGGGAATGTAACATTGTTAAACATTAACTCCGTTGCACACACGCGGGGGTACGATACGAAGGGAGAGTTTGAGGCGTTGTTCGAGGCTTTAGGCCTAGCTGTAGGCTTTAGGCCGCTGTGAGTTAAATTGTAATTTAAAAGTTTTAATTAAAAGCTATCTCAGGGAATTATAAGGGAATGTTACACTTGTTTAGCCAGGAAAGCCTCATTAATTTAAATGTTTTAATTAAAAGCTATCTGAGGGAATTATAAGGGAATGTTACACTTGTTTAGCCAGGAAAGCGTCACTGAGTCTAAAGGTTTTTGTAGGGTCATGCCAAGTGTTTGCAGTAGGGGGCGATGTTGCTACACGGACGGACGGACGGACAATATAATCTATTGTAGGCTGGTTCACTTCGTTCCTACCAGTATTACGTCTTGACTTAAAGCTTTCGTGACCGCAGGAATTAATATTTTTTGGGTCATTCGGTAAAACAACAAAAAACTACGACGTTTCGATCACAACACAGGAGGTTTAAACCTTTAAAACAGTCTGCCTCAGCAGCTTTCCTCTTTTCTCCTCCTGATGACGACCGCTTGTGTTGTGACCGAAACGTTGTCGTTTTTTGTTATTTTTTTCAACTTTTCTACGTGACTTTACCGAAAGACCCAAAGAACACTTAATTGCGATTTTGACTTCCGTTTATTCGGGACCCCGGGGTCCCACCATAAGTAAGTAATCATTGAAAACTGAGTAATCATTGGAAATATGTTATTACCCATGTAAAAAAGATTTAACTACACATATTTGTACCATCTTATTTGACAGGTACTATTCTACTTTACCGAGTGTTGACATCCCCAGCGTGTAACAGTACTGCCATTTTGTATTTGGATTTGTCTGCAAACACCGGCCACAACCCCGTGTCGATGTGCACCATTGTTCCCTTTTAGCCCCCCCCCCCCGCCGTTCCATTCCCTGGCTACCACATTCAGATAAGCCCCTCCCCCCCCTTCCCCTGAACTTGTATTTAAGAGCTGGTCTCTTGGATTTTTCCCCACTTGATACATTAAATTTAGCTGTGACGGTCCCACCTGATGACGGAGACTTGTGTTGCCTCCGAAACGTTGTGATTTATTATTTTATTTTTATTAGTATTTTTATTATTTATTTTTACCTACGTGACTTTACCGAAACAACCTAAGAGTATCCCGCCATAAGGTTAATTTAATAACAACGCCAAGCGCCTTGCATGGGTCCTCTGCCTGTTGATTCACCACAAGTGCGGTGTGCCACAGCGGTGGTGGGGCATTTGTGCCGACAGGCAGCTCCAGTCAGCCACCGGCTGACGGACAGGGTTCCCCAGAGGGCAGTGACGTGCGGTGAGGTCAATGGCTGGGGAGGCACTGGCTGGTATTAGAGCCAGAGACACACACGGAGGGGGGCGTGGCCTCACTGAGGGGGCGTGTCCTCGCTGAGGGGGCGTGGCCTCACGGAGGGGGCGTGTCCTGACTCGGGGGGGCGTGTTAGACACGTCCACCTCAGTGAGGCAGATGTGATAGCTGCCTCCCCTTGTGCTTTTTAATTTGCAGTTTCATGACGAGACCAGCGAGCCTAAATATCTTTAATCACATACGTGAAATAAGTTACCTGGAGTATGGAAGGCGAGCACATGAATCGAAGGGGTCTACAAACATTACATTGGTGACATACTGAGATAGTAACAGGCACGCGCTACTTTGCCTGCACTCCATCCAGTTACTGAGGGGTTGCACAATCAGAGGGGAGGCTGAGCTCGTCGCTGCCTCACCTCTCGTCTCTCCCTGTATTTGCAGCGGATCTCCGCAAATTTGGCGTTTTTGACAACAAAAATGATTGGAATCGTACAGAAATGACATTTATAACACAGATCAGTGAAAAATCATAATTTTTTGTTTATTATGTTTTACTTTTCGTAACAGCTATTTTCATTGGAGTATAACAGGTGAGGCTGTACCTCCCCTGCCTCCCCTGACCGCACGTCCTTGCCAGAGAGGGGCGGCACGAGTACCCACACTTCACCCCACCACCAGGTAGACTTTACTGGAGTGTAGAAAAATGATATACTACTGGGTGAACAATGCACGTGCTTCGTCATTTCAACTGCCGTGCCCGGAGATCGAATCGGCGACCTCTGTGGATTGCAACTCCAGTGTTGCTACCATTACACAATATATAGGTTTTAAAAAAAAAAGTATAAATGTTTAAGTATTTATATGTTTTCGAAGTTGTGTTTTTCATCTTCTTGTTTCTTTCGGTAAAGTCACGTAGAAGGGAAGTAATAAAATAATAAAAATAAAACATAATAAAACTATTCTCACGACGTTTCGGCTACAACGCAAGCAGCCGTCTTCAGGTGAAGAATGAGACACTACCAAACTTCACCTGAAGACGGCTGCTTGCGTTGTAGCCGAAACGTCGTGAGAATAGTTTTATTATGTTTTATTTTTATTATTTTATTACTTCCCTTCTACGTGACTTTACCGAAAGAAACAAGAAGATGAATCCCTGCAGTCACGAAAGCTTTAAATCGAAATTGTGTTTTTCACTTTGTGTGTGGGCTGTTTTTTATGCTCGTGGGAAGAAGCCAGAGAGCCTGGAGACATCTCACAAACACTCCGGGATAGCGCTTGAAGCTCCGCACAGACGGATACAACCTGAAAACCTGTGGTATTCATTGCCAAGGGGGGGGGGGGGGGGGGCTTGCCCATCCAACTATTGACCGGTCTCCGACCCACTCAGCTTCACAGAATCTGCTCCACGGGAAGCTCAGCAATCCACTTGCTGTACTGCCACCTAGTGGCGCCATCACGGCCCAACAGGGCCAGATGACAGCGCGTTCCCATCTCTTCATGATCCACCAACACCCAAACACAAATCACCGATGTACAATGCCGATAACATCATATTAAATACACGTGTAAATGTAAAGGTACAGCCCTGCAATTGCTTGCTCATGCCACTAGAGGGAGCTCTAGGGAGCCCCTCTAGAGGGTGTGTTTTTGGCCTACTCTTCCACGCTGGCTGGACGTCTAGACGTGCAATGTCTGCGAAGCTCTCACGACGCACGCGTACATCGCCACAGCAAAACAACAAACACATTTGCTTACCTTGAGCGTCAGCGAGGGTTGTGGCCATTATGAGTTAGAAATCTGCGCAGCCGACACGTACCGTATTCATCCTAAACGAGGGCTTGCTTGCCAATCAACACACACACGCGTAGTGACGAGCTGCAATGCTGGCTTGCTATACAGACCACTAACCACACGACCATAACCTCCCCCCCTCCACCTAATATCGTTCAATACACAGCTCAAATCGCGCTGTTCTCCGCTTGCTAAATTATCCCGACGCTTCACGGCGCCTATTATTCGCCTGTAACATTCACGTGTGGAAACGGTAGCGTTGAGAACGTAGAGCAGGAGCCACAATGCACATGCTGGTGTCGGGGGTGAGAGCACAATGACGCGTGTGTGTGTTTTGGTTAACACGATGATGGCTCTTTCTTAACACGATGATGCACAGAGAGCGGCTGCTGCCACTGCAAGAGCTGAAAATAAAGACCACGAGCCTCTGAAATTTCCACCAGAGGGCGGCAGGTGCCACGACTATTATGTGTGTTTGTTGAACTTGCCAAGGGGGGGGGGGGGCTTTTGGCGTCATCTGGTCCAACACCATGTGAGACTAGGCTCTAAAGAAAGCTGTCTCGGGTGTGGACCAATCCATTTCAAGGACAGTGCATACATTATCAGAGTTATGTTTTTTGTTTGCATTCCGACTGCAGGTATTGTGGTCAATGCAAACATGACTCATTGTAAAAACAGGTGTCAGTTTTGTTGCCAGATAAAAGGGTAAAAAAAACAATTATCATCTTCTTGGTTCTTTCGGTAAAGTCACGTAGAAGAGAAATAATAAAATTAAAATAATAAAACATAATAAAATAATTATATTATTTGTAATATTATTTTATAATGGTTTTATTTTATTTTATTATTTCCCTTCTACGTAACTTTACCGAAAGAACCAAGAAGATGATTCCCTGCAGTCACGAAAGCTTTAAATCGAAACCAATTATCATATTTTGCTACTGGCAAATGAGGTTCCAATGGTGTGTTGAACTTCTTTCGCACCGTACGTAGCAAACCGTTCTAATCGGAAGGTGGCATTCTCTGTCCGCACACGCAACTTTGCACGATTTTACCAAATAACTCTGTGGCCCTAAACTTTATAATTAAAACAAATATCGAATAGGCAACGTTTCGGGCAATGCTCATTCGTACCACCTATTTGTGTGCTGATTTATGTTCTCTGAAAAAGGGGCCATGGCCTGAAACTGCAAATAATTTTCCCTCTTAAGGCCGCAGTTGTTGTGTAGTTCATTGTTCTTGTACACCACCTGCCGACAGAGTCGCAGCAGCAGCAGCAGCAGCATCACCACCACCATCAAATCATTTGTCTTGACATGGACAAGAGATTTAAAGCTTTCGTGACTGCAGGGATTCATATTCTTGGTTCTTTCGGTAAAGTCACGTAGAAGGGAAATAATAAAATAAAATAAATAAAACAATTAAATTATCACGACGCCACTTTTTTCTAATTTTCTTGCTGTGGTTTTCACACCTGATGATGATTGCTTGTGTTGCCATCGAAACGTCGTGATAATTTAATTGTTTTATTTGTATTATTTTATTATTATTTCCATTCTACGTGACTTTACTGAAAGAACCAAGAATATGGACAAGAGATTTGAGTGTTTCGTCGAGTTGAGTACCTCGACTGGGCTAGGGTGCCCCTGAAGAGGGTGACCTATGCCAGTCAGGTGGCAATTATTATAATAAGAAGAAATAATTAGTTTTTTACTTCGTGCCACATGCGCAGAAGCGTCTCAGGTGGCCATAACCACCACTCATCTGTTGTTGTGGTCGCCTTAGGGGCCGTCCATAAATGACGTCACGCACCTAGGGGGGGGGGGGGGGTCAGACATTTGTGACGATTTGTGACGAGGGAGGGGGGGTTGAAAAATGTGACGTCACATCAAAATTCGCAACTTTAAATAAATATAGACGACGCGTTCTACTTAATTAAAAAAACTTTTAATAAATGTTTTCTCCTACAACATCAGAGTGCAGTGGCACATTAAATACGCACTACGATGACAATAGTTTAAAGCGATTTGAAAGCATGTTTTATTTTGGGGAGGGCAGAGCTTTGTGACGTCATATTTGAGGGGGGGTCTGACTTTTTGTGACGCCGTGTGACGAGGGGGGGGGGGGTCAAAAATCGTCCAAAATCGCGTGACGTCATTTATGGACGGCCCCTTAATAGGTGCTCGCTGACAGCACTTGCCCCAATAGCCTGTGTGGGCTACACGGGGGATGCTTGTACTTGTGTATGCTGTATACATTGGTGGCGAGCGGTGGTGTAGCGGTTAGTGCGCTGCGCTACGAACCCGGCGACCCGTGTTCGATTCCCGCTCAGGGCCAACACCGGTGACAAATATGTGAACCGGTCCTGGTCCTCCCCCAGGTCGACTCAGCTTTAAATGAGTACCTGGTGCGGTGTGTAAACATCGCCACTAGGGAGACAAAGGCGGCCGGGCGTGGTGTTGGCCACCAACCCCCTCGTGTGCCGTGCCGGCCTTTATAGGTGCTCGCTAACAGCACTTGCCCCTACAGTCTGTTAAGGCTATACGGGGGATCTTTTTTGATATTGATGGCAGCGTGGTGCAGTGGAAACACGTGTGCCTCAGCAAAAAAAAATTAACCCGTAAAAACAAAGTTTTTCACTATAAATCCTTTATATGCGTGTTCAATGGGCCACAACCCAGCCTACATTGGTCTTTGAAACGGGCGGCTAGAGTCCTCTCGTCCTCTGGCTTGAGATGGCTGCCACCTATGGGTCAGATGATTGCCTGACACCATTAAGCAATTGGTAATTAAATATTATTATTTTTTACCTAAGAAGTGTAAAATTTTGGAAATATTTTTTTCACGAAAAGAAATTGTCCCGCACAACGAGTCTGTGTGCAAAATGTCAGCTCGATTGGATCACGGGAAGTGGGTTAAAAACGACCGAAAGATTTTCACGGTCGTAAGCGCGCAAGCAAGCAAGCAAGTGAACTTAATATAAAGGATTTAAAAAAGGTCCCTGACTCGATTCCTAACACGTGCACCTTTGTGTGTGGAGTTTCGTATGATCTCCTCCTGTTCTGCACGGCTTCTTCGGTTTCCTCTCATAGATAATAAATAAACCCATACACTGTAAATGTTTGCAGGACCCTCGTGAAAAATGATTCTTTGGACTGGGGTAAATAAGTAGTACAATGTAATTGCATAAAGGGTGCATTTCAGAATATGGGGGGGGAGGGGGGCACTGGCCTTAACAGGTGATAGATGACAGCACTTACCCTGCCAGTCTGCAAAGGCTACACGTGGAATCATGTTTTAAATGTTTATAACGGCAACGTTCTTGGCGAAATGACACGAGAACATCGCAAATCCGAAAAAAAATCCTAAGTCTTATCCAAACCTCTCACCTTATCTGCAAGGATTAGCCTCCCGCAGGCTTGTTGACTTACGTCTTTAATTTCTGCAGATGCATCACGAAGTTAATTCGCCTTAATTCTTCGCCGGCAAAGTCATGGCAACACGTGGGAAGGGGGGGGGGGTGATTACGCAGACATGAAGGTGACAGGGTACCCGAGGAGGGAGTTTTGAGAGGTTTTGGGTACAAGGGGAAGCGGTGGCGCCAGGCCTCAAGCAAACCAAGTCAAAGGGTAGCTGCCCCAAGTTTTGAATCCTCCCCCCCCCGGCGTTTGGCTACGTACGGTGCGAAAGAAGTTCAAAGTTCAATATATACGTACATATATGACCAAATATGGGCGCAACAACAACACACACATCTGTTCGAATTCATGTACTTATATATAAACAAAAACCCATCAGCTCGTCCTTCTAATATCTTTACTAAGCGAAATGTAATTGTAATGACTCTCACTTTAAAGCTTTCGTGACTTCAGGGTTTCATATTCTTGGTTCTTTCGGTAAAATCACGTAGAAGGGAAATAAAAAACAGAATATTAAGCAAGATTTTTTTTTATTTCCCTTCTACGTGACTTTACCGAAAGAACCAATAATATGTAATGAATCTGTTCACGGATATATTTCACACAGCAGTGATATCATTAAGTCATGTAGTTTTGTCCAGTAGATAATGTTTGTGGTCATGTGATGCAGGTTAAGAGGAGCATGGTTGGGGCAGATTGAATCTATGTTATTGTATTGTGTGAATGTAATGTTTTATCTGGATAGAGTCCCTTGAGATGGGACATCTCGTTTCAGAGTATGCATTTGGCTGGTAGACATTTCCACTACGATTAGCTATCATTTGTGGCCAGTTCGCTTCTAAACACGAGTTATATAATTCAGGGTGCTTTACCTAGTAAAATAAAAAATAGTTTAGTTTGAGTTTAAATAGTTTGCAAGTGTGTCCCATGGTGTCAAGTAACACGTACATAGCAAACACTTAACAAGCATAAACTAAAAACGTTTATTCTACCAGGCAAGGCCCACTGAGCTATTTAGCTTTTTTTCAGAAGCGAATTGGCCACAAACGATAGCTCAACGAAGTGGCTTATCATGTTGACATGTATAGCAGCCAAATACTCTAAACACGTGAGGACCCAGATAAAATCTACGCGACCATGGATAGAGAGACACGCAAACTCAAAATATATAGGTGTCAGGGTCAGAATCAGAATCGAACCCACGACCTCCTGCATAGCAGGCGAGGTAGTTAACATCTCGCCACCGTGGCACCACTACAGATGCACGGTGCACGTACAGCCCTTGTTGTCAATCCACTGCTTGATTCAGGCCTCTCCAAATGCAAGTTTAATGCTGCAACCTCCACATAAATACATTCCCTCACCAGCCCCCGTACCTAAATATTCTCAAATCTTTTCGAGACCGTCATAAATTTTGGGATAAAATTTGGAAAAATAAATAAACCAACATGCACCCGGGTATCGATTCTGGAAAGCGTTGCGCGCATGCGAGGCTGTGGTGGTTGTTGCGATCAGTGCAATCAGTGTAATCAGTGCAATCATTGTAATCAGTGTAATCAGTGCAATCAGTGTAATCAGTGTAATCAGTGCAATCAGTGTAATCAGTGTAATCAGTGTAATCAGTGCAATCAATGCAATCAGTGTAATACATACAATCAGTGTAATCAGTGCAATCAGTGCAATCAGTGTAATCGGTGAAATCGGTATAATCAGTGTAATCAGTGCAATCAGTGTAATCAGTGCAATCAGTGTAATCAGTGCAATCAGTGTAATCAGTGCAATCAGTGTAATCGGTGAAATCGGTATAATCAGTGGTTGTTGTAATCAGTAAAAGCGTTGCGTGGGTGTGAGGCTGTGGTTGTTGTGATCAGTGCAATCAGTGTAATCAGTGCAATCAGTGCAACCAGTGCAATCAGTGATTGTTTTAATCAGTGAAAGCGTTGTGTGGGTGTGAGGCTGTGGTTGTTGTTGTAATCAGTGCAAAATGTTTTGTGGTTTCATGAGGCCATTAGGGAGTTAGTGTGTGTGTGTGTAGTGTATAGTGTTTGCCTTTTTGCATTTAATAATAAATGTGTTAATCCACTCTGGACACATTGCCTGCACAAACGCAGCAGCAGCAGTAAGCAGCTTTCTCCGTTTTTCTCGGGGCGTCAGCGTTTTCAGCTGAATAAGACTCAGCCCCCCCCACTCCCCATCCCATCTCCCGCTGATCACGAGAGACAAAGATTCCTACCTCCCTTAATCCAACGATAACTTATCTCGATTGCCTATGTCTGCGAGCACCTATTAAGGCTGGTACTGCAGGGCTGGATTCAGTTTGAAGAGGCCTGGGGCTGTGTGTAGTCTTTGTGGGAGGGCACTTTTTGTAGTCTATTACATTCATTCTAAGGTTGATTTTGAATGCATTCAATGTATTAATCTCAGCTGGATCACTCTTTGATGGGACATCTCGTTTGCCTGGCTGTCCAGGGTGTGAATTTGACAGGTGCATAATAGCAATACATGCACTGATACAAATACAGTTTTACACGCACACGTAAAACAACACAATGACAAGTATTTATTCCGCTCGCCACGCTAACCAGAACTACAACAGACATGACATTAAGGCCCTCATTGTAGCAGTTCTTGAATTTGAATCAGTGCTGCTCACACAACGCATTCCCAGAAGGCCGTGCAGCTGATTATCGGTTGTGGAAGAAATGTGAAGAAATCTTTCAATAACATATTTACGCGGAGAGACGGCTATGTGAGAAAGACAGCATTTATCTGCTCATTCACTTTGTCATTTATATTCGCCACAACGACGCGAGTGATAATCTTCGGTTATATAAACTCGTGCGATTTACACGAGAAAAATAAGCAACTTAACAGTACAGGCTCGAACATAAAATAAAAATAACTCGGTGTGATTGAATTCATAGCAACAAGGATCTAAGGAAGCTGGGTCTACATTCGCAAAGTTTGCTCCACTTGGGCGCCACGGTGGCTAGGAGATGTTAGCTACCTAGCCTGGTATACAGGAGGTCGTGGGTTCGACCCTGACGCCTGCTGCTGCTACAATAACAATAGTTTAAAGCGATTTGGAGCATGTTTTTTTGTGTGGGGGGGGGGGGGCAGAGCTTTGTGACGTCATATTTGAGGGGGGGGGGGTCTGACTTTTTGTGACGCCGTGTGACGAGGGGGAGGGGGTCAAAAATCGTCCAAAATCGCGTGACGTCATTTATGGACGGCCCCAAAGCCACTTCGTTGAGCTCTATCATTTGTGGTCAGGTCGCTTTTGAAAAAGAGTGATATCGCTCAGTGGGCCTTACCTGGGAAAATAAACAATAGTTTCGAGGTAGTTTTTTTTTAGAATAGCGGGTGTCGTGAAGTTTAATGACAACGTTGATGATTGGCTGAGTCTATCCGCGACCTACAATTGATCTTTATGGCGGCACCCTGGGGCACCAAATAATACAAACTGGCCGAGGCAATTACATATTTAATTTCTGGGACACAAATTTTTCCAGGGGTGTTACTTAACTTCGCGACTGGGGTACCAATCAATCCGACATCAGTGCCACTTCGCGATATCGAAACGCAGCGAGGACGCTTGCGCTGAAACCCTGAACGCTCGCGGTACGCACCGTAGTAGTGCATCGTGCACAGCTCGTCGAGATGAGTCGATTGCCGCATCGCCGACCATCAACAGACTCAAGACGAACTGCGTCACGGACACGATGCGAGAGCCGGGCTGCTATGGATACCCCGGGGGTACCGCCATGAGGTTCATTTGTTATCGGCGACCTGTCTGCCGCCCGTGGGATGGATGCTGTAGCCCCTGACTCCACAGGGCCAAACGTTCGCTTTCATTCCACGGTCACCAACAATGACGGAGTGAGTGGCTGCTGCTGCCAAGTCTATGGGGCGCATCTCAGAGAGAGAGAGATCCCACGTCCCCCCGAGGAGATGGCGCGGTGACAAAAATTCAGCTCGCGTTCTGGCGCTCAGTGGGATGATCACATCGTGAGATTGTGAGGCTTGGGGAGGCCTTCGTCCAGCAGTGGATTGACCACGACAGACGAGGATGGCGACGGTGATGATTACGCCGATCGTGCAATGACAAATCGCGCGACGTTGACTTGTGTTCCTGCAGTGATGCACCGGAGCCTAACGATTAAGGGATTACAACTTATGATATTAGCAGGCGCCTAAGCCTTTTCCTTTTATAAACACAGAAACCCGCTGAATTGTCATTCCTTAATTGTCTTACTTGCGCGTTTCATTCGGCGCAACCGCTGCCCTCAGCGCCCTCAGCCAATGGCGCAGCCCCGCAACCGCTTGCTCGTGCCACTGCTGACAGAAGGGCCTCCCCGCTCGAGGGTATTTGGCCGACGTCTTGGTTGGACGAGGCGAGAGTTGCCCGCACTTTACCCCCCCCCCCCCCCCCCGCATGCGACCTGCCTACGGACTATCTGCGGTGTCCACCAATTTCAGTGCATTGCCGGGTGGACCGAAGCGGGTTGAATGCGAGGAACGACTGCCACGCTTGCAGATTGAGCCGGTGACGTCTGGGTTCGCAAAGCCCCGCTACAAGTCCAGTGGTGGCTCTTTAAATCTTCACAAGGCGGCTCTTATCGAATGGGCAAGACGTAAAACACACTGTCACAGGAGCAAAGAATAATGGATTCTAGTTGCGTGATACGTTGTATGCTATAGTTACTACTATATACAAGTGGCTAAATGTTGTTGTTTTGGCTCTCCAACACACCGGCGTGCTGTACTAGTAACGAATTGGCATGTTCTGTTTACGTGACAACCCTTACTAATTGGCTGTGTCGGGTGGTGGCGGGTTTAATGACACATTGATCTATGTATGCGATCTAACCCTAAATAACCTGCATTATGGATACACTTGGCTCTTTGCAAACTCATGGGTACTTTGTGGCTCTTGATTTGTTACTACTAAATGAAACAAAATTTTTATTTTTATTTTATTTTACCAGGTAAGGTCCACTGAGCTGTGTAGCTCTTTTTCAGAAGCGACCTTGCCACAAATGATGGCTCAACGAAGTGGCTTATCACGTGGAATTTTGCGGCAGCCGAACGCTCTAAATGCGTGTTTCTAAATGTGGAGTGAAAAATCGGAGGGGCCGGAGCAAATTCCACGCGACCACGGGGAGAGAAAAACATGCAAACTCCAAATATACAGGCGTCAGGGGCGGGATCGAACCCCCGACCTCCTGAATACTAGGCGAGGTAGTTAACATCCCGTCACCGTAGCGGAATGTTTACTACCTCGCCTGGTTCTTTGCAAACTCATGGGCATTTTGTATATATAGCTGCCACTGTATAGAGATAACTGGATGATGTGTGGACATCGTTTGTCTGTGAGTGACCGCTCTTGTCTTCCGGTGCCTTGTCTGCACTACTCTCTCTTTGTTTTTAAATGATGCTGCTCGGTGCGATGTCGTTGTTGATTGATGGCGCATTTATATTTTATAGATATATTTGTTCATTTTTATTGGAAATTTAAGTTTACCACTGGAACTTTTCATGCTTAATCTTGCACTTTTTTCAGTACTCAACTGGCTAAAACTAAAAAAGACACAATTTATATTTAAAATGATATGATTTCTTACCCATTTAAATGTGTTCATTCGTTTGTATAATCCATGTATTTGTCTCTGATGTGTTACGTCTGTCATGTGGTTTTTATTGATGAAACCCGAAATAAGAGCGTCTTAGCTCGCAGGGTACTTCAAGATGAACTCAAACTCAACTGAAACGTTGTGGCCGTTGGTCTGTTACTGTGTGGCCACCCTGACGGCAGGACCCCTGTCGTACTACTCATTACATGGCATTTATTCCAACAATTAACCAATTAAATGCCCTCTTTTTGTTGGAGTTGAATGTTGGCTGAGTGTGCATTGCACACACCTACACGTGTCAAAGACGAATATCCACCGCATAGATTTGTATGTATTTATGTAAGTTGAACTTCATGTATGCAGGAGGGACAACAACAACAGGGCAATTAAAAGTGTGTTGTTGTTCGGAAAAATGTAAGGAACAGGAAAGAGAGAGGCAGACCTAACAGGGAATGGCTTGACCACGACATCACAAGAGATCGGTGCCAGAAAGACGTGGGCCATGACTTGAGCACATTGACACAAGACAGAGAGGAAAGTGGAAACACATGACGAAATGTGCAATGGACACCTCTCTGCCCATGGATCGTGATGATGATGTTGAACTTCTTTCGCACCGTACGCAGCCAACCGTGCTAATCAGAGCATTATAGACTGTTAGAAATAAGCACTGTCGGTGAGCACCTGTGTAGGCTGACGCAGTTCAGTACACCATGGGGTGGTGTGGCGAGCACTACGAATTGCCACTTTCTGGTTTAGGGTCAACATCAGCGACGGGTGATGTCTAGACTGGTCCTGAGGCTCCCCTTCGCCGACCACGTTGGTGAAATATGATCAAACAACCCCCATGTATGTGTAATAAAGGACTCCTTTACACACGATGTCGCTCTCCGTTGGTCCTTTATTGGGTTCTTCCTCGCAACCTGCCGGTCCTCTCTCTGACCCTCGCCGTCTCCGTGTTCGTGCGCCACCGCCAGCGTGGCTTCCTCCGTGGTTCACTCTCTCTCCTCCTCTTCCGGCTCTCTCCTTATATCCCCTCTCTCACGTGACCCAAACTCCACCTTCTTTTACTGCCCCTGTCTCCGCCCCCACTCACCCCGACGACCAGGCTCCGCCTCTCCAATACATCGGCCCGTGTGAGTGGTGCGGAGGCAGCGCCCACCCTGTCCTTGCTCGCATTACACATGTACAGAGACTCCTCTACTTACGAACGAGTTAAGTTCCAGAGGTCTGTTCGTAAGTCGATTTGTTCGTAAGTCCAACTTTACTCCCGTCGATTCCAAACATGTTGTACGGCGTGTACACGAAACACGGGGAATGGCTTTACACGTTGTATAATCTCCTGTAGACGTAGATGCCACTGGTTCTTCACGTTCTGCAGATGTCGATGGCACCACCGCCATCGATTGCGCGGCGGTTGAACTTACGACTCTCGGGTTCGAACAGGCAACTGGACATACGGACCAGGTTTGTACGTATCTCTGAAAGTTTGTAAGTCGAATGTTCGTAAGTAGAGGAGTCGATTTTATGTTGAACTTCTTTCGCACCGTACGCAACCAACCGTGCTAATCGGACTGACATGGTGTGGGTAGGCCTTCACCCAGCAGTGGTTTGACAGAGGGCTGTAGAGATAAAGACAATTATTATCACACCTGTGGAGTTCACACCTGATGATGATGCTTGTGTTGCAGTCGAAACGTCGTGAGAATTTTTTTTGTTTTCTAATTTTATTATTTTATTATTTCCCTTCTACGTGACTTTACCGATAGAACCAATAATATAAAAAGCCCCTTAATAGTGCGCAAAGAAGCAACGAAGAAGTGCACGCCTTGGAAAAGAAAGGACGCACGGATGAGAGGACATAGGCAGGCCAATGCCGTCGTGTCAAACTGTGCAATGCGAGTGAGGGAGTGACGGCCGAGACGGTCGAGAAAAGTAACGAGGAGTGGGCGGCCAAGGGGCGGAAAGCGCGTTCGAGTTGGACGCCCGCCGAGGAGACGGAACGATGCGATGAGCCCGCGTGCAAGTGCTGGGTGCGACGGTGACATCGCAGGGCCGTGGGAGATGGCAATGGCTTGGGGAGGGGATTCATCCGGCAGTGGATTGATGTTGTCTAATAATAATGATGACGACAACGACGATGATTCAGTTCAGTTCATTTATTTGGTATAGCTCTGTGAGCCGTTCGGCTCTTGAATCGGGTGCAACCGCAACAAACAAAACATGAACAAGAAACATCTTAAAGTGACTACGCGCAACAGAAAAAGTACCGTATATCAATGCTGTGTGCAAAAATCCCAGTGGGATGCAAGTCAAACAATAACAACCATAAGACAATTTAGATCAAAGTTATCAGTCTAACTAGTCTAACGTGACATCATCATCATCAAATGATGATACGTTGATGTTGCCCTTTAGATAAGTGTAGGAGCTGATAAGCCCCAGTACATTGAGGGAGGCGTGAGAGCTTACAGCCACGCACGCGGGAGTTTTAATGCGGCGTGCGAATCCCACTGTTACGTGGCATTGTGTTAATCAAACAAATTATGGTCGAGGTGGGCTGGGTAGCTCAGAGGTCAGAGTCACTGAGCCGGCACCGATGAGATTCTGAGGTTCAATGTGGGATTCAGCCGCCCGCTGTGATTAAACCGCGATCCTTAAGTGCGGCGAGTTGATGGTGAATCAAATATATATATAGCTTGACATTTAGTCGTTGTAAAGCTTGCACCAACAACAACAAAAACGATGCAGATCCGGGCACTGGTTTTGTGCTAAAATTGCGTGGCGAATTTTCATAGCGATTGGTGTAGAGCAGGAGTTGTGCGACATACGGTCCATGGGCGAGATATGGCCACGGTGTTGTCTTTACCTCGCTGATCTCATCAAGGAGCGTAAACCATCATCGCGTCCACTCCGGTGGTCACCCTCGCAGCAGCCGTCTTTGGCTGCTGGCAGAGGTGTGGACTTGAGTCATGTGACTTGGACTCGAGTCAGACTCGAGTCATGAATTTGATGACTTCAGACTCGACTTGGACTTGCATAACAATGACTTTGTCCCACCTCTAAGATGTGGACTCGAGTCATGTGACTTGGACTCGAGTCAGACTCGAGTCATGAATTTGATGACTTCAGACTCGACTTGGACTTGCATAACAATGACTTTGTCCCACCTCTGGCTGCTGGCCATCAGATGCGCGCTTCTGCGGCCGTCTGGAACGTTCTTCCTTCCGATATCAGGAAACGACTGGGAGCTATGGCACTTTTAAATCATTCAGATTGAAAACTCGATTCTTTAGAACTGTGTTTAGTTTGTAATCCTTCCCCCGCACCTGCGATTATCACGGTTGGCTACGTACGGTGCGAAAGAAGTTCAACACACATACGTACATCCGTGGCCCGCGCCTTATTTTAACCGCGGGCGGTGGAAACAAGAACTCATCACTTCAATGCGGCCTGCCGCTACGGGCACTTTGGCCGCGCTGATCAGGAACTAGAGGGGGATATAATTCGTCGACGTGGCAACAGCGCTGCGTTTCTGATCGTAACGATGCCCGGTCACTTTATGTCGCTGCGAAGAGCTTCCGGGCGGCAACATGATTTGGCTGAGTTCTCCGTTGAATCTGCGGTTTCCAAAGTAGTTTGAGGGCCTCATGTGGCCTTCGGCGAAGGCAGGATCCCCAGAGCTTGCGTAGAGTTTTGTCATTTTCATTAAATTGTAATTATTAGCGCTCGGATGGACACACGTGATGCTATCAGGCCAGAGCAATACGAGAGCCTATTAGCTCCCTCAAAAATCAATGTTTGTACTTATTGTAAGCTACGCAGGGCCTAATGTGAATTAAAGAAAACAATTTAGCCGCTGTTTAAGAGACAAAGCAGATGGCATAGAATTTGGGGGTGGGGAGAAGGGTGAGAGGCAGTGGCGTTAGCCACCGAGTGTGCAGGCAGTGCAACTGCACCGGCACTTCATGGGCTGGATGGGGCCCAGGCATTGGGCTACACAGAATGGGGGGGGGGGCATTGAACAGAGGCCCCCACCAATTCATTCCTTGAAACTAAGGCCCCATGTCCAACTATGCTACGCCACTGACGAAAGTCAAAATCAACGTCTCGCTCATAGGAACATTGAGAAGGTGGTGGTGGTGGTGGTCACCTCTCCTCTTGTGAGCCCTGAGCCAGTGGCGGAAAATTCCTCATTCCTATGGTCAGGGCGAGTCCATCCATGGGACAAACCGGTGACGGGAATGAGTGAATGTAATGGGGAGATGCGTAGACAGGGGCTGGTGGATCACCACCGCAATGGAACTGCCTGCATGTGTCAGACGACTGCAGGGGCAGGGTCAGTGTGTAAAGCAAGTACAGAAAGTAGGTATTTGTGTCTGGTTATCTTCTCATGCACGTGAGTCTTCCCCCCCCCTCCCCCCGTCACTCCAGTTTCCTCCCACAAGAAGCAAAACTACAATTAAAGGAATTATTATTACCATTACAAGACAAAGACCCCCCGTATAGCCTTAACAGACTCGAGGAGCAAGTGCAGTTAGCGAGCACCTATGAAGGCCGGCAAAGCGCACGAGGGGGTGGGTGGCCAGCACCACGCCGGACCGCCTTTGTCTCCCGAGTGGCGATGTTTACACACCGCACCAGGTACTCATTTGAGGCTAAGCTGACCTAGGGGGTGGCCCAGGACCGGTTCAGATAATCGTCACTGGTGGTGGCCGTGAGCGGGAATCGAACTCGGGTAGCCGGGTTCGTTGCGCAGCACACTAACCACTGCACCACCACTCCACACACACACATTACAAAGACAAAGATCCCCCGTATAGCCTTAACCGACTGTTGAGGCAAGTATTGTTAGCCAGTAGCACTTATGAAATCCGGCACGGCACACGAGGGGGTTGGTGGCCAGCAACACACCCGGCCGCCTTTGTCTCCCCAGTGACGATGTTTATACATCGCACCAGGTACTCATTTGAGTCGACGTAGGGGAGGCCCAGGATCGGTTCAGATAATCGTCACTGGTGTTGGCCGTGAGTGGGAATCGAACTCGGGTCGCCAGGTTTGTAGCGCAGAGCGCTAAACGCTACACTACCGCTACCCACTACACGCATTACTCACGTATATACATACACACTGTTAGAGAGCCCACGAGCTTTTGCTCCACATCACCAATCCTCCCTCAATCCGTCTGTCCTCCTTCCCTCCCCTCCCTAAACTCCCCTGCCCGGTGTTGTCCCCACCCACCCACCATATATCAATCTCCAAACATCAATGACTCAGTCGAACGCGGCTCAGAGAGAGGAGCCTTGCCGAGCCAAAGTCACAACTTGTTGCTGAAGTTGTGACACCTTCGGCACTTGCAGCCCGCTTTATTATTTGACAGCATCGTGAAACCGCCGTCCTCCCTTTGCGCCGCGTGGAGCTCGACGTTTCATTTAAGACATGGATTCAAACAGCGGCAGTCACTCGGCGATTAATGGTAAGAATTATTTTTTTAAACATCCCATAGACTTTAATTTTTGTATTATGATCTGTCCTGGATGAAAATGTCTTTTTTTCCCTTCCCCTATAAATGTGATGTATTAATTTTGTTTTATTTTGGACATCTGTGAAAAGAAGCTTCATAGCTCATCGGATGCCTCCTGCAGTCGAAATAACGATTCTGATTCTGAATTCCCTTCCAATGAAAGCGCAAAAAATATCTCCTGGATTAGCTAATTGCGGCTATGAGAATGAAATATGTTATTTGATGTTGAAATTCCCTGCCGGATATATCACCGCAGAGAGGGTGACAATGGGCCAAGTGGTAATGCGCGTGCCACTTATTGCAGAAGTGCCACGGTGGCGAGGAGATGTTAACTACCTCGCCTGGTATACAGGAGGTCGTGGGTTACATCCCGACCCTGACGCCTGCTGCTGTATATTTGGAGTTTGCGGTGTCTCTCTCCCCGTGGATTTTTCTCCGGGTTTTTACGGGTTCTCTCTCCACATGTAGAATCGACATCACGCGTTTAAAAATAATATTTAGCTGCTATACATTTCCACACGATCCGCCACTTAATTGAGCTATCATTTGTGATAGCCAGGTCGCTTCTAAGAAAGAGCTATTCAGCTCAGTGGGCTTTACCTGGTAAAATAAAAATGTCTTCTTGGTTCTTTCGGTAAAGTCACGTAGAAGGGAAGTAATAAAATAATAAAAATAAAACATAATAAAATAATTCTCACGACGTTTCGGCCACAACACAAGCAGCCGTCCTCAGGTGAAGACCAGGTCTGTCGGGGAGACAGCGTCATTCATGATGAATCCCTGCAGTCACGAAAGCTTTACATCGAAATTTAAAATAAAAATAGTTAAGCTTAGTTCGAGGGTTATTCCTCAACACACCGATGAGCAGAATAAATAACAAGTGGCCCATTAAACACGAGTATGCCGTGTGACAATTAAATTTGTTTGGCTGTGTCCGGCGGTTGAGGATTCTTAATAGCACAGACGCATAAATCAACATCATCATCATCTTTCCAGAGTTGCTACAATAACTATCAATCTGTAGAGTAAATAGTCATCATTCTATGGATGGACTTGTCACTGCCATGGGAATGAGGAATTTCCACCATTAACATAGGCCAGCCGAAGCAGTTGAGCACCGTTTCATGCTCACTTGCTCACAAACACACTTTGGCTTAACTTACTCCAGAAACTAAACTAAAAACTATTATAAACAATTATCTTTCCAGGTAAGGCGCACTCTTTTTTGCAGAAGCGACCTGACCACAAATTATATCTCAACGAAGTGGCCTATCACGTGTAAATGTATGGCAGATGAATAATTCAAACGCGTGATGTTGATTCTAAATGTGGAGGGAAAAACCGGAGGATCTGGAGCAAAATCCACGCGCACACGGGAAGCACATGCAAACTCCAAATGTACAGCAGGCGTCAAGGTCGGGATCAAACCTCCGACCTCCTGTATACCAGGTGAGGTAGTTAACGTCGTGCCACCAAAATGATTTGCCGGAATAAAATGATGCTTTGGTTACATGACAACTTCTCTTATACGATTATGCAAATTCTATTGTCCACGAGGTTCTAAAACCCTGATAATGATGCTGCTGCAGTGGTAGCAGCAGCCAATGTTGTTGTTGACGATGACGATGATGATACGAAAGTTTCTGCCACTGCTCTTGTTAATTCCCTGTGGATAGAGATGCTGATTATTTGTAATTCAGCTGCTGATTTTGTAACCGATAAATGGGACTGCGGCTAAAAAATGCTACTGATGATTCTGATGCAGTTAATAACAATAACACTGACAATCGTCATAAGAATACCACTGCTGCTGCTACTACAGATGAGGGTGCTGCTGATGATGATGGCCCTCTCCGATTAGCACGTTTGGCTAATGTACGGTGAGAAAAAAGTTCAATATTCATAATAATTAATCTCATGTTGCATGTTGCTGCAGTTGATGATGGCGACAATATTGACAATCAAAACCGGACCTTCATTTGTCATAAATCTCTGGGGTCCCCAACCCGACACCAATCGCCTCCTCTCCCCCTGGGGAAATAGTTTCAGGGGCTCAGCCTTGGACAGCTCCGTCTAAGATTAAGCCGTGTGGCCAGTTTCATAACACAATTTCAGGGGAAAATGTCCATTACATTTCGAACGTCCCAACAGAGCATCCTGACACGTCGATTGGTAGTCGGGCAATATTCCGAAGGACGCTGTACTCGCTCTTGGGAATTGTTGATGTTCTTGTGTTATGTTTTGGTTGTTGCTGCTGCTGCTGCTGTGCCTACGGACCACAGATCTCCCATTTAAGCCAGCCGGGCAACGGGTTAAACGGGATCAAATTCTAAATCGTCATAATTACCATCATCATTATTATTGTCACTCGAGGTGGCTAACGCACGCACACAAATTACCACCTCGCGTCTCATAGGTCAAGATTACTGCGTTCGTCCCGCCGAACTGCACAGCCCCGGCCATGCGCTCGCCGCCGTCTCCCAGGCTCGCTACGCCGGCGGCGGCGGCGGCGACGCGAGCGCGAGGCACTGCCCGGGGTCGCTGGCGCGCAAGACCGCGGCGAGCCTCCTGCTCACGTGCCTGGTGTGCGGCGATGCCAGCAGCGGCAAGCACTACGGCATCTACGCGTGCAACGGCTGCAGCGGCTTCTTCAAGCGGAGCGTCAGGCGCAAGCTCATTTACAGGTTCCGGGCGTCGTCGCACAAGAAACTACGAAGGGCTATTTTTTTTGGTTATTTCAAATTTTTAATAGAAGATTTTATTTTTTACCCGGTATAGCTGCTTTTATTTTTTTTTACGGAAGCGACCTGGACATCACGAATGATAGCCCAACGAAAGGTGGCTTATAGTGTGGGAGAATTTATAGCAGCCAAATAAACGCGTATTGCCAATTTTAAATGTGGACAGAGGAGGGGGGTCGAAATTGAGGACCCTGGAGAAAAATCCACGCGACCACGGGGAGAGGAGACATGCAAACTCCACATATAGAGCGGTCAGGTCAGGGTCGAACCTACGTATACCAGGCGAGGTAGTTAACATCTCGCCACACTTGAAGAGATCTCGGAGGTAGCTCTGTGATATTCCCGTCGCGGGCCTCTGCTAGATCAACTCAGCCTTAAATGAGTACCTGGTGCGATGTGTAAAGATTGGTACTGGTGAGACGAAGGGTGGAGGCATCGGCACCGGGGAGACAAAGGCGGCCGGGCGTGGTGTGGCCACCCACCCCCCTCGCATTCCGTGCCGGCCTTCATAGGTGCTACCTCTGGAACAACCTCCGCGGAGCAATCCGCACGCTCGACTCCATCCCGAGAATCAAGTCACAACTCATCTGCACAGCTCTTTGCAATCGCACACAACGTGTGTTGAACTTATTTCGCACCGTACAGAGCCAACGACGCTAATCGGAGGTGCGGGAGAAGAACAACAATGACTATTATTATAATTACAATCATCAGAGCATGTGTGTGTGTGTGCATGTTTTGCCACAAAGTACGTGCGGTTAATGCGGACTTTATATCTTGCCAAATGTAACTATTTGGTGTTTGAACGTTTGAACTCCTGTTTTATTGCCAGAAAGGGTTAAAAGCCATTTATTTTTCACCATTGAACTAACTCACAGCCACAACTATTAAACAATTATAGACAATATGTTTTTCTCATTGTACAGAATTGTCAGTTGTTGTGGTCACGAGTATGAATGTGATGGCCCTTTGAGTGGCATATTCGTGCAAGGAAGGCGCCGTGAGTGCACAAGCTAAACACGATTGACTTGACGGCAGTCTGCGGGAAGGCTACACGTTGGGAGAACCTCTATCTTTGTGTTGCGCAATGCAGGTGCCAGGCGAGCACCGGCCTGTGCACGGTGGACAAAGCTCACCGGAACCAGTGCCAGGCCTGTCGCCTGCGCAAGTGCCTCCACGCGGGCATGAACAAGGATGGTAAAGCGACACAGTTAACATGCACGCACGCACGCAGACCCCCCCGTATAGCCTCAACAGACTGTTGGGGCAAGCGCTGTTAGCGAGCAGCTGTGAAGGCACACGAAGTGGTGGGTGGCCAACACCACGCCCGACCGTCTTTGTCTCCCCAGCGGCGATGTTTACACACCGCACCGAGTATTCATTAGAGGCTGAGTCGACCTATGGGAGGAGGCCCAGGGCCCGTTCAGATGATCGTCACCGGTGTTGGCCGTGAGTGGGGAATCGAACTCAGGTTTCTGGGTTCGTAGCGCAGTGCGCTAACCGCTTCACCACCGCTCTCCACCACGCCCAGCACACACATAGCGAGCACCACACTGGCACAGAGAGAAACCGATGGATATTGCAAAATGTGCTTTTGGTCTAGATTTGAAGTTTTCTTTACTGCCGGGATCCATACTCTTTGGTTCTTTCGGTAAAGTCACGTAGGTGAAGTCACGTAGATTGCTTGTGTTGCGACCGAAACGTCGTGATTTAATTGATTTAATTTAATTCCTACGTGACTTTACCGAAAGAACCAAAGAGTATGTGCTTTTGGTATTGTGCAGCGACATGGGCGTTTCATTTGGCACTCACGCGAAAGAGGATCGTTTACACTGAGAGAATGGCCCAGCAGGAAGATGACATTACAGAACTACTGCCGAAGTCGCGTTAATTACGCGTCCTACTAATCAGAGTATGTGAACAGCAAATTAATATTCGGTTTAAAAAAATAAAATGTTAGCGCTCATCTATTCCAAGGTACTGTTTGTTACCGACCGCTTAACAATTGTCTATGTAGGTACATAAATATGTTGTACACCTCGCAAATAATGTTTGTTGCATGGCAAGCTGACTCCAGGCACGATGCGGGCATCAAAAAGCTTCACGTTACAAACCACACGTCTGCCGAGCAAGCATCTCGAGGATTCTGTCACGGATTTTTTTTGCCGCCGTCGTCGTTTTTGCTTAATTCACAGCCGAGTTGCCCTTTTTCAAGTGTTTCACGCAAACTTCGTGTTCACGGACTTCTCGCCCCCGTTGAACGTGTGGTGGGGTAAAGTGTGGGTAGTCCCACTTCCTTGTTGTACAACTGGCCAGTGTGGAAGAGCAGGGGTCTCTCTGGAGCTCCCTCCGGCGGAGGCCCCTTCCACCGGCTGTGGTGTGAGCAGGCAATTGCAGGGCTGCGCCTATGCCTTGTTTAACTTGTGTGTGCTATTCTAGATTAGAAGTTTTCGTGACTGCAAGGATCCACACTCTTTGGTTCTATCGGTAAAGTCACGTAAGTGAAAAAAGAAGAAATAACATTTTTAGTTTTTTTCTAAAATATAACTAAAATGTAGTTATTTCAATTTTTTTAATTCTGTATTTTTATTTTATTCTTTCACCGACGTGACTTTACCGAAAGAACCAAAGAGTTTGTGTGTGCTAATCGGAGGTGCGGATATAGATCAATAAAGTTGCATTGAGACTCATAGAGCACAGCCCACGACCGTCGGCAGTGGAGGCAGCTACAAGGCATCGCAGTTACATTGAGTTGCATAGAGATTAATCGACTTACGCAGATGGTCATAGAGTTAAATAGAGATCCATGGAGTTACACGAAGAGCCATAGTTACATATATATGTATGTTGAACTTCTTTCGCACCGTACATAGCCAGCCATGCTAATCAGAGGTGGTGGAGAAGGACAAGAAGCTTAACAAAAATGACGCATCTCCGATTATCACGGTTGGCTACGTACGGCGCGAAAAAAGTTATCCACACATCTCGACGGAACAGATTAAATTTCGATTTAAAGCTTTCGTGACTGCAGGAATTCATTTTCTTGGTTCTTTCGGTAAAGTCACGTAGAAGGGAAAAAATAAAATAATAAAAGTCAAACATAATAAAATAAAAATAAAACATAATAAAAGTAAATATTGTTAAATTTGTATTACTTTAACAGGACCCTGCGGGGTGGGCTGGTAGGAATAATACTTAGTACCGGTACAGGGATATCGACCGGGTATAGAGGAGTTAAAGACAAAATTACTGTATTCTAGTGTAACGTTAATTAAAAGTGTTTGTTTTGACAAGAAACGCTGTTAGATTTAAAGACCCCTCACCACCAGCCCCCACCACCAGCCCCCACCACCAGCCCCCACCACCAGCCCCCACCACCACCCCCCACCACCAGCCCCCACCACCACCCCCCACCACCAGCCCCCACCACCAGCCCTCACCACCAGCCCCCACCACCACCCCCCCACCACCAGCCCTCACCACCAGCCCTCACCACCACCCCCACCACCAGCCCCCACCACCACCCTCACCACCAGCCCCCACCACCAGCCCTCACCACCAGCCCCCACCACCAGCCCTCACCACCAGCCCTCACCACCAGCCCTCACCACCACCCCCCACCACCAGCCCCACCACCAACCCTCACCACCAGCCCCCACCACCAGCCCCCACCACCAGCCCTCACCACCAGCCCCCACCACCAGCCCTCACCACCAGCCCTCACCACCAGCCCTCACCACCAGCCCCCCACCACCAGCCCCACCACCAGCCCCCACCACCAGCCCTCACCACCAGCCCCCACCACCAGCCCCCACCACCAGCCCTCACCACCAGCCCTCACCACCAGCCCCCACGACCAGCCCCCACCACCAGCCCTCACCACCAGCCCCCACGACCAGCCCCTCACCACCAGCCCCCACCACCAGCCCCCCCCACCCCCCACCACCACCCCACCACCACCCCCACCCCCCCCACCACCACCCCCCACCACCACCCCCCACCACCAGCCCCCACCACCACCCCCACCACCACCCCACACCACCCCCCCCCACCCCACCACCACCCCCACCACCAGCCCACCACACCCCCACCACCACCCCCCACCACCACCCCCCACCAGCCCCACCACCACCCCCCCACCACCAGCCCCCCCCCACCCCCCACCACCACCCCCACCACCAGCCCCCCACCACCCCCCACCACCCCTCCCACCACCCCCCCCACCAGCCCCCCCACCACCCCCCCACCACCCCCCACCACCCCCCCCACCACCACCCCCCCCCACCACCCCCCCCCCACCACCCCCCACCACCCCCCCACCACCCCCAACCACCCCCCCACCACCACCCCCACACCACCACCCTCACACCACCCCCCACCACCACCCTACACCACCACGCCCCAAACCCCCACCACCACCAGCCCCCACCACCAGCCTTACAACGCAAAAGCCTAAGGCTTTATAAGAAGCGCTGAATGACTAGGCCTCAGTAACTTTAAAGTGACGAATGAAGTTAATAAACCACTAATAATAGTGCGCGCCTGTCGTTAAAATGTAACTCTTACACGCGGCTACTCGCGTTAATGTTAAAAGTGCAATTTACTTTTTATAAACATTAAAATAAACGCTTAATATACCTTGCCACGCAAAGGCCTAAGGCTGTATACGAGGCGCTAACGGACTAGGCCTCAGTAACTTTAAAGTGACTAATACAGTTTATAAACTACTGATTATAGCGCGCGCCTGTCGTTAAAATGTAACTCTTACACGCGGCTACTCGCGTTAATGTTAAAAGTGCAATTTATTTTTTATAAACAAATTAAAATAAACTCTTAATATACCTTGCCACGCAAAGGCCTAAGGCTGTATACGAGGCGCTAACGGACTAGGCCTCAGTAACTTAAAAGTGACAAATAAAGTTAATAAACTACTGATTATAGCGCGCTCCTGTCGTTAAAATGTAACTCTTATACGCGGCTACTCGCGTTAATGTTAAAAGTGCAATTTATTTTTTATAAACATTAAAATAAACGCTTAATATACCTTGCCACGCAAAGGCCTAAGGCTGTATACGAGGCGCTGAATGACTAGGCCTCAGTAACTTTAAATTGACTAATACAGTTTATAAACTACTGATTATAGCGCGTGACTGTCGTTAAAATGTAACTCTTACACGCGGCTACTCGCGTTAATGTTAAAAGTGCAATTAATTTTTTATAAACATTAAAATAAACGCTTAATATACCTTGCCACGCAAAAGCCTAAGGCTGTATACGAGGCGCTAACGGACTAGGCCTCAGTAACATTATAGTTGCGCGCGTCTCGTTAAAATGTAACTCTTACACTGCGGCTACTCACGTTAATGTTAACGAAACGCGCGCACTTTATTTAATTTCAAGGTTTTAATCAAAAGCTATCTCGGGGAATAAGGGAATGTTACACGTGTCATGCCAAGTGTTTGCAGTAGGGGGCGATGTTGCTACCAGGATAGCGTCACTGAGTCTAAAGGTTTTTGTAGGGTCATGCCAAGTGTTTGCAGTAGGGGGCGATGTTGATACACGGAGGGACGGACGGACGGACGGACGGACAGTCGGACGGACGGACGGACGGACACATTAATCTATTGGTGGTCTGGTCCACTTCGTTCCTACCAGTATTATTTCCCTTCTACGTGACTTTACCAAAAGAACCAAGAAGAGGAACAGATTAATTCGCTCAAGCGCAAACAAAACAAAAATCCACAGCTTACCGTCAACCTCAAGGCCCTGTTTTTATTTTGTATCGTTGTGTATCCCGACACCCTCGCGCAGCTGTTCAGAACGAACGGCAGCCGCGTAGCACTGCCCAAGTCCGGCCCGGCGACCCCGAATTGGGCGCCAGGCTCATGCTTGGCAGACACATGGGCACCGGCTGCTGTGACGCCAACGGCGCTGGCATCAGCAGCGGGAGGAGCGGCAGCTTTGGTGGTAGCGGTGGCATCAGCAGTGGCAGCAGCGGCGGCTTTGGTGGCAGTGGTGGCAACAGCAGTGGCAGCAGCGGTGGCGTTGGTGGCAGTGGTGGCATCAGCAGTGGCAGCAGCGGCAGCTTTGGTGGCAGTGGTGGCATCAGCAGTGGCGTTGGTGGCAGCGGTGGCATCAGCGGCGGCGGCACAGTTCCGATGGCGTATGCTAAGCGAGAGCCAGATGAAGGTGAGTGAGAAAGGGTTGCTTCAAAATGTCGCCGGGGTGGCTAAGTTGGTCAGCGGCACTCGCCGTGTCGTGTCGGGGAAGCCACCCCTTGAAAATGAGAATTCTCAGTGGGCCTGGAATTTTGGTCCTTTTAAAAAATAAGTGATCCCGTTTGCGCTATCGGGGTCGTGTGGTTACGCGAAGCAATCACTCGGATTTTATGCAGACAGCTCTTCATGTTAGCGAACGGCCCACGGAAGCGGATATCGCGAAACTACTTCTGAGTCCCCTTCTTCAAGTGACCTCTGCTCTTGTCTCTTTTTTTCAACGGTTTTACTAAACTTGACTCCTATGTTTGTCGTGGTCAAATCTTGTAATCAAAATTTAGTCTACTTCCTGTTATGCAATCAATTCCAAAATTTGCACACGTACTCAAATCCGGTGACAATGCATGCCTGTATCAAATTCGGCATCAATTAATCAATTAATTGGCTCTTTTAAACCAATTAACATTGTGTATAGATGGCTTATTAATTAAGTATTTATTTGGGTGGGTCAAAAACGCCGCGGTCCCTAAACACTGGAATCGCCTCGCCCAAGAAGCAGGCGCCACGTGTCTCTTGTCATCAAGATGTCGTCCACTTATCGTTGTCCATTCCAGTTATTTACTTTTTAGTGCACTTTAAAATAAAACCGTTGTTTAAAAAAACACATTTTTAAGAATTTTATTTCAATATAAATCGCATTTAAGACCTCTCCAAGCAGGCTCCCAGCACATGGAGCGAAACGTCAGACAACAGGCGGTCGGCAAAACCTGAAACCGCATTTGGAAGCTCTTCGGCACGACCACGGTGAATACATGTTACTCGGTGATTAGCTCGTCACCTCGCTGATCTGTTCGACCATCGACATTCACATCCCTCCGGCGTTTCGTTTTCAGACGAGGCTGTCGATGTGACAGGCGAGGACGAGACGGAGGAGGAGAGCGAGACCTCCACGCGGCACTATCGGGCTCTCGGGCCCGACGGTTCGAGCCCGGGCCTCCCACAGGCACCGGCCTCGACGCTCCAGGCCCCGGGAGAGTCACGTTCCCCGATCCGGGCTCGCGCCTCTCCCAAGTGCCTGCCCGTGGCCTCGGCGGAGGTCTCCGACACTCCCATGAGCCTCCTCTTCATGGCCATCAAGTGGGCGAAAAACCTGCCCGCTTTCTCGGCCCTGCCATTCCGGGACCAGGCAAGCGACCGTACAAAAGAAGCGCCGGGGGCATGGATTCCGCGTCGCGCCAATCCAATGTCTGGACGGCGAAGACACGTGGATGGGGGGAAAAGCTTCGATAGCCTCATTCGCAACGAGCCACGCACCTTGGGTCACCAACGTGACAAAGAGAGAAATATAAATGCGTCGTTAAACCCCGTCGCCATCCGACACGGACGATTAGTAAAGGTTTGTCACGACTTCAGCACACCGGTTGTGTGTTGGCGAGAGTAATCCCATAGCGTTTACAATTCGAGTGCCGTGACGTTTCGCTGGCGATTGCAACCGCCTTCACCAGGCGATTCATTTAGCCGAGATCCGGAGTGTTAGGTCAATGACCAGTCAAGTAACCTTCTTCGTGAGCTTCTCATTTCACTCCCCCCCCCCCACCTTTTTCCCGGGGTCATCAATGACGCAATCACTCGAGCGCTCGCTCCGGCACATGACATGCGACGAAATAACCCATCCGTTATGATCCGATTTTTTTGTTAAATGTAATTCCGAGTTGGCGTCACCGATAATCCGGATGAGGGCGCTATCAGACTCGCCGCGGCCTTCAGAGGCAACGCGCGGTCAGACTCGGGCACCCGACCCACCCCCCCAATGGCGCGTTTCGTGGGTGGTCTCACGCCCTTGGGGACAACGTCACGGGGTATTTAATTGTCGGATTTGCATCGCGTAGGCAGGCCGCGTGGACACAGCGATAATGCCGCAGGGTGCATCAATGTCACGCGCTGGCGTTTGTCGTCCATGACGATGGGTGGGACCAAAACAAATGACGTCACGCACCTGGGGAGAGGGGCGGGGTCAGACATTTGTGACGATGTGTGACGAAGGGGGGGGGCTGAGAAATGTGACGTCACATCAAAATGCGCAACTTAATTAAATAGCTTTTAAATAAATGTTTTCTCCTACATCAGAGTGCAGCGCCACATTAAATACGCACTACAATGACAATCGTTTAAAGCGATTGGAAGCATGTTTTTTTTTGGGGGGGGAGGGGTGGCAGAGCTTTGTGACGTCATTTTTGAGGGGGGGGTCTGACTTTTTGTAACGCCGTGTGACGAGGGGGGGGGGGGGAGTCAAAAATCGTCCAAAATCGCGTGACGTCATTTATGGACGGCCCCAAAGTATATATATTTGTTTTCAATTCCAAAATGAAATGAACGCTACGACGTACCGACCCAAAAAAAAACGTGGCACGTCGAAGAAGAAGAACGCTGCAAGTTCGCAGTGAATCGTGCAGAGGTGTTGCGTGCTCTGAAACGACACTCGGGAACTATTATCGCAGTCGTACTAGGTCAGCTCGGACATGAAAGTATTTGGCTGCTATGAATGTACATTCGTGGAGAGATGAACACCAATGACGCTCAATCCATTTCCCATCGTGTCGCCCTGTCTCCCCGTCCCGTCAACGTACACACAAAGACAAAGATCCCCCGTATAGCCTGAACAGACTGTTGGGGCAAGTGCTGTTAGCGAGCACCTATGAAGGCCGGCACGGCACACGAGGGGGTGGGTGGCCAGCACCACGCCCGACCGCCTTTGACTCCCCAGTGGCGATGTTTACTACACACAGCACCAGGTACTCATTTCAGGCTGAGTCGACCTAGGGGAGGAGGCCCAGGACCGGTTCAGACAATCGTCATCGGTGTTGGCCGTGAGCGGGAATCGAACTCGGGTTGCTGGGTACGTAGCGGAGCGTGGCGCTAACCGCTACACCACCACTCCCCACCACAACACCCACCACTCGCCACCAAGTGGCGGTGACGTCACAACGGCACCTGTGCCAGGCTAGGTACACCACTTTGAGGCCACGTGAAGTGTCGAACGCCCACTGGCAAAGCGCTCACGGGACAGACCCAGCAGGTGCCATGGGTTGACTTGACTGAGATGACTGATCGATGCACCAACCTGTGCCCACCGACACACATACGCACGTACATCACACACACGTACACACACACGCACACGTGTACACACACACGTACACACACACGTACACACACACACGCACGTACACACACGCGTACACACACGTACACACACGTACACACACACGTACACACATACGTACACACACACGTGCACACACACACACACGTACACACACACACGTGCACACACACGTACACACACACACGTGCACACACACGTGCACACACACACGTACACACACACATGTACACACACACGTACACAAACACACGTACACACACACGTACACACACGTGCACACACACGCGTGTACACACACACACACACAGGTGATCCTGCTGGAGGAGGCTTGGAGCGAACTCTTCCTGCTCTGCTCCGCTCAGTGGGCGCTGCACAGCGATGCCTCCCGCGCCGCCTTCCAGGGCGCCGCCTCGCCCTGCCCGTGTCCCCTCGGAGCCGGCGGCGGCCCCGAGGGGTCGTGCCCCTTGCAGGCCGCGCACGGTGGGGCCGTCGACCTCCGCTTCCTGCGCGACATGACGGAACGCTTCCGAGACCTCACCGTGGACTCCACGGAGTTCGCGTGCCTCAAGGCGGTCGTCTTGTTCAAGCCAGGCCAGTGTGGAGGGGGGGGGGGGTTGCGGAACGTCACGATTTTGGGGGTGGCGGGGGGGGGTCCGCTGTAGGTAGCGCCAAGGTAGCTCGGTAGATGTGAAGTAGCTTCGGCTGAATTTAGATTTAAAGCTTTCGTGACTGCAGGGATTCATCTTCTTGGTTCTTTCGGTAAAGTCAGGTGAAGACCAGGTATGTCGGGGAGACAGCGTCTGACGCCGTCTCCCCGACAGACCTGGTCTTCACCTGAGGACGGCTGCTTGCGTTGTGGCCGAAACGTCGTGAGCATTATTTTATAATGTTTTATTTTATTATTTTATTATTTCAATTTTACGTGACTTTACCGAAAGAACCAAGAAGATAGCTTCGGCTGGTTACGCAGCAGGAGGTCGTGGGTTCGATTTCGTCTCCCTGATGCCTGTTGCACGCAGGGACTCCCATACCCTGTCAACCCAGACGGTTTTACCCCGTTTTCTTGTGCAGGGGAATTGAGTTTTCAGGTGCGTGCTGCGTACAGCCGTTTGAATGCGGGCAACATTTTTGTTTTGTCTTATTTGTTTGTGTTTCTCCCTTGTGATGGGACTTTGTAGGATGAACGTTGAGATTTATAAGGGCACGGGGTGACCACTAAGGTCTGAGTTGGTCTGTGATAAGATAGGCACTGATAAGAGATTGACAGGTATGGGGCCGTCCATAAATTGACGTCACGCACCTAGGGGGGGAGGGGTCAGACATTTGTGACGATATGTGACGAGGAGGGGGGGGGTTTGAGAAATGTGACGTCACATCAAAATGTGCAACTTTAAATAAATATAGACAACACGTTCTACTTAATTAAATATACTTTTTAATAACATCAGAGTGCAGCGCCACATTAAATACGCACTACAATGACAATAGTTTAAAGCGATTTGAAGCATGTTTTTTTTTGGGGGGTGGGGGGAGGGGCAGAGGTTTGTGACGTCATATTTGAGGGGGGGTCTGACTTTTTGTGACGCCGTGTGACAAAGGGGGTGGGGGTCAAAAATCATGTGACGTCATTTATGGATGGCCCCTATTTGAACATTCGACTTACGAACTTTCAGATATATGAACAAACCTGTCCGTATGTCCAGTTTCCTGTTCGAACCGATAGTCGTAAGTTCAACCGCTGTGCAATAGATGGCGATGGTGGCATAGACATCTGCAGAACATGGAGAACCAGTGGCGTCTACATCTACAGTAGATTATACAAGACCTGCATATAGCTTAGTGGGGCATTATCTGGCAAAATAAAAACAATATTTTAATAGTTTAAATAGTTGGGAGGGCTGCCACCTGCCCGGTTGGACCACCCCCCCGGGCACTGGAATTGTTCAACGACCGATCTAAACAATAACCTAACACCACTCCACTAAATGTATTTATGAACTTTGTATTTAAGTTTGTGGAGTATTTTCTAATTTGTCACGCCACGTTGTTACCTTATCTGTTTGTTTTCTATAATTTGTTTGTGCCTTAGCTAATAACGAGCCTGTTGGCTGCCATTCAAGTAACGATTTTTACACCCCTATCCTTCGTTAATAAATGTTGCACTCCGATCGTGTTTTTTGATATCATACTCTTTGTTTTTTTCGGTAAAGTCACGTAGGTAAAAAATAAAATAAATGAAAACTAAATTAAATCACGACGTTTCGGGCGCAACACAAGCGTCCTTCTTCAGGTGGGGACAACGTAGCGAAAGCACAACCGCTTAAGTGTGTCTAAGAGATGGCTGTGACAGCGCCCGAAACGTCGTGATTTAATTTAGTTTTCATTTATTTTATTTTTTACCCTACGTGACTTTACCGAAAAAACCAAAGAGTATGAATCCTTGCAGTCACGAAAAGCTTCAAATTTAGAATTTTTTTTATATCGTTTGTTGTTGTAACGTTCCAACCCCGTGCCCCTACTGGACATCTGTGAAAGGAGCTTCAAAACTCATCGGATTCCTACTGCAGTAGAAATAAATATTCTGTTGGCGGAACCGAAGGGTATGTCTAATCACTCTCGCGCGCGCGCGTCTTTGCATCCCTTTATCTCATCCGCAGAAGCCAGCGGCTTGAAGGACGGAGACCAAGTGGAGAGTTTACAGGACCAGTCCCAGGTGATGCTGAGCCAGCATTGCCGTGCTCTGTACCCCAGCCAGCCAGCAAGGTACAACTCCAGCTTCTCGTGGCACTCGCACGGTGGGCGTACGCGCGTAGCCAACCGTGCTGATAGGAGGTGCGGGGGATGGCCAACAATCTGAGCGCAAAAAGAAGCGGTCCTAGAGAAATGAGTTTTCAATCTAGTCGACGGCCAACTACTTTCATGAGCTGAGCGGAAGGGTGATGCAGTACGCTGGATGATTCGGCAACGCGGCGGCGTACCCTCAGTTGTTGGACCCGCCGTCTCACCGTGCGTGTGCGCAGGAGTAACGATCGTAACTTGCCACTAACTTCATCGTCACGTGATTATTTGTGGAGAAATCGTGTTCGCTTCACGCGGTACCTCTCCAGAACGCGTCTGTACCGCGTCAAACGAGGACCAATCCGCGTTTAATCATCAACTAACCGATGCGTCGTCATGCAATCAGCGCCAACCACCCCCCAAAGCCGAAGGGCAGATCTTTTTTGTTAAACTGGGAAACTTTTTGCCCATATTTTCTATTTAATGTTTTTTAAGCGCATTTTTTTAAAAACAGGCATAATTATTCGGGTTTGCCCGTCCGTCCGTCTGTCCAACCAATACATTCTCAGAAATACTGATAAATTATAATTCATATTCCCTCTGTACGCGCACGGTAATTGAAATAGTGACATCTACGTTATTTTATTTGCGAGTTTTTTACTTGTATTTTTTCTTCCCCGAATTCGGCGCCCCACTTAAATCTGGCGCCCTTAGGCGACCGCCTCTAAATCGGCCTGCATGGACGGGCCTCGGCTGGCGTCATGCCACCAATTGCGCTTCACGACAATTGCCCGCCCCCCACCTATTGCACTGGAAACGGAGCCCAGCTCACTCGGAAAACAACGCTCCGCCGCGTCCCAACAACCCACGTCAGTTTCAGTTTCATTTATTAGGTGTAGCCCTGTGAGCCATGCGGCTCTTGACTCGGGTGCAACCGCAACAAACAAAAACATGAACAAAGAACACCTTAAAGTGACTACGCGCAACAGAAAAATCCAGGGAAAAAACAGCAAAGTCTTCCAGAAAAAAAACCACCGCGTATCAACGCTGTGTGTAAAAATCCCAGTGGGATTGCAAGTCGCCTGTCCCTCGCTGCGCGCGTTGTCTGCGTGGGCAGGTTCGGCAAGCTGCTGCTGCTTATTCCCGCCCTCCGTTTGATCCACGCCGACCGCCTGGAGAAGATTTTTTTCCAGCGAGCGCTGCACAGCGCCCCCATGGAGCGTCTCATCTGCGATATGTTTCGCGACTGACCAACTCTCCTCCTGACGGCAAATCCAGCAGGCGGCGCGTGCCGGATAAAAAATACACGGGAGGTGGGCGCGAGGTGGTGCAGCTGATTCACGGGGTGGAGCGGCGGTGCAGTGGTTAGCTAACCACATTTATTAAACAACAATTTTTTGTTACGTTTTATTTTGCCAGCTAAGGCCCCAACGAGTAGCTCTTTTTCAGAAGCGACTTGGCTATCACAAATGAGAGCTCAACGGAAAGTGGCTTATCATCATCATGTGGACATTTATAGCAGTAGCCACATACTCGGAACACGTGACGCTGATTCTAGGGTGTTAAGGGGAAACACTGGAGGACTGGGAGAAAAATCCACGTGACCACAGGGAGAGAAACACGCACACTTCAAATGTACAGCAGCAGGCGTCAGAGTCGGGATCGAACCCACGACCTCCTGTATACCAGGCGAGGTAGTTAACATCTCCTAGCCACCGTAATGATGATGAGAGAAAGAGACACGCAAACTGCAAATATACAGCACCAAGTGTCAGGGTCGGGATCGAACCCATGACCTCCTGTATACCAGGCGAGGTAGTTAACCTGGTGAGCCAAGTTCGAGTCCAAGTCAAGTCAATTTATGGTTGGTTAGCATCTTGCGCCTTTTCAGCAGTAGGCAGGATGATGATGGTGATGATGATGGGCTAGAGGAGAAGAGAGGGTGGCAGTTTTAAGGGAGGAACAGAAGCAGGTTAGTGAAGATAATTGCCACCAAAAGCACAATCACATCATCGCAGCGTAAAAATAAACAATTCCTATCAACAGTTTAAACAAATAAGTAATTAAAAGCAAGTCGTGGCTGTGCAGTTCGTGGTTGGAAGGGTGTTAACGGGCTGCGTCATGGACCCACTACTAGGGCCCTCATCCGGCCCAGGATTGGTTCAGATGTCACCCTCCACTGATGTTGACCAGGGGCCTGGAATTGAACTCGAGTTGCCAACGTTCGTAGTGCGGTGTTTGCAAACCGCTGCGCCGGTCACTTCACCCCCCCCAGACCTTTGGGGTGTAGCGTTCCCTCGTTATTCGCGACGAGGGGTACGTTCCGGACATGCTCGTGAATAGCAAATTTCGTGCAGAACGATGTTGGCCTACGAAAACCATTTTTTAAATGAATTACGTTAAATACACAAATAAGCTATTAAATAATAACACAACAAATGCTTATAATAAACATAAAGTAAATAAAAGTAAATAGTATAATAATAGTTTATAAATTAGCTTACTTTAAGGTATGATGATGATGATGCTGCGCAGTAGCATCATCATCACTTTATCTCATCACTTTATTTCTCTCTCTCTATTGGTGCAGCAGTCGTACAGACTTTCAGATGGGATTCGCGGACAGCCACAATCGCCGATAGCCAAAATCACGGATAGCAAGTCCGTGACTAACGAGGGAATGCGGTATTCGTGAAATAAACCTCAGCTAAAGTGGTTGAGAAGGGTCTCTACCTTAGAGAGATGACTCACAATGGCCGCGTTTGAGACACAGCCAGTGGGACTGGCTTTCTCTCGGTGCGAGAAATAATTTCTGGCTTCTGTCGGCGCCCTTGGCACGGTCTCATCAGCTCGATCGCTTCCCTCGGTTGTGGTTCGTTCACCACAGTGGACGGACGATGCATGGCCTGCGACCTCTACCATTCACACAAGCACCGCTACGCCCTGCCCCTACTGTTCGAACAATAAGCCACGATTTTGGGACTTGCTGATGTCAGTGAATCATTGATTGAAAAGGCCGTTCTCTCCGTTCAAGGTTTCATTTTGGCCCGCTCTCCAGACTGAGGCTCTTGGCACTCTCACAGAAAACAAAAACTTGCATTTTAGAGAGGGGAATTGATTTGTTGACTTCTGGTGTGCCGCTGTTCATCTTTCTACTTATTTTCGTTACTTTATTTAGGGGCGGAATAACGAACAGACATCCTTGAATACGCGCGAAGTAGCGTGGTGATATTCACGTCGTCGAAATTCACGAAGATTTGCTGCTTAAATGAGCACTGAGGCATTACTTATTTCTTGAGAAACAGACTTGGGTCAGTGGTGGAAATTCCACAATCCTCCTCGAGGGGAGCGGTGGGGGGGGGGTCTCATCCAGAGCGCGACCACCGTTGTACTCGCTTCATATTTTATCGACCCCGGAGAGATGTTGGTCCGAATCAGCCCCCCGACCAGGATTTGAACTTGTGACAGTATATATCACATTGCAATCGAAACCAGGAACGCCTCGCCTAGTCTCGAGACTGGGTTCGACTCCGAGTTTAAGCGGCTCGCTATTAAACCGGCGAGTTAACGGTTTCAGCCCCGTGCGCGAATGATTAGCACAGACGCATTTAATTAATTAGCATGCTCTCCGGATCATAAGATGGGCCAGAAATAAGACGCACCCAATAACTTGTGCTCCTGTATCAATAAACTTATACAAATCTCGTCACTCAGGCCAGGTTATGAGACGCTCCACCAACTGTTTGCTTCAACATGCAGGAGGCGGGGGGGGAGATGTGCGTCTTATGATGCGGAGAATGCTTTAGTATTTTTATAAAAACTAATTTGGTTTATCACAAATATGGAGGGTGGCATTTACAAGAATATTGGATGACTGGCTCATGGCGCCTTACCATATTTAGAGACCGTGAAGGAGCGCCCTCTAGTGTTAAATAATAAAGTTGTGTTCATTATTTCCATTTTGCCCCAAACTCTTATCTTGATTGTGCTATCGGCGTCGCGTCCGTCACGCACGAGACTGAAGAATCCTCTCGCTCGGCAGGTGCAAACCCCCTCGTGCTAGAGAACGGCCCACGGAAGTGAACATCGTAGAACTGCTTTTTAGATCCCTTAAAGTGACGCGTGGTCCACACAGTAGAAGGGAAGAGCACTTCCCCACTTTCTCTGCACGTCAAGAGTCAGTGAGGTTCCTTGTATGACAAGTCACACCCGACGTTTTAATTCCCAGTGCCGGAATTTAGGTAACTTAACCAATTTCCCTTTGCGAGACGTCTGTAAGTTGCAGGGTGGGTGTCCAGTTCACCGCTGAATATCGGAACGCGCAAGCGGCTCAGCATTCATTTAATTTAGAGAGGCGCAGTAGCGCAGTTGTTTTAAAGATATTGTAGTTCACCTCAGAGTAACTGTAGCGACACGACCGCACTCTACGATAATTACCGGCGCCAAACTGCCACATGCCCTCCCGCATGGCCTTGTGGGAGCCTCGGTGCCGATGACGTAATTTCATTTTAGTTTTTCTTCCAGTTCCGTTCCTATGATGTACGTGTACATGTACATCATCGGAACGGGAAATGTTTTAAGAAGCGACTCCTATTCACGTGGGTCTGTAGCATCAACGCTCTGCCGACTGTAAGAGTTCCAGAAGGACGTTTCCTATGATGATTTCAACAATTTTTATTTGATTTTACCTAGGTAAGGATCCACTGAGCTGCCGTGTAGCTCATTTTCAGAAGCGACCTGGCGACCACAAACGATAGTTCAGCCGAAGTGAGGCTGATCACGTGGACATTTATAGCAGCCAAATACTTAATCTCCTCGCCGCGCTCGCGTGACTCCGATAATAGCTCAATTGGATGTAATAATCATCAGCCAGGGTCAATCCACTGCTGGATGAAGGCCTCCCCAAGCCAGCGCCACCTCTCACGATTCCACGGGATATCTTGTGTACTGTATGTTGAGCTTCTTTCTCACCGTATATAGCCAACCGTGCTAATTAGAGCTAAACAAATGAGTTTTTAATCTAGATGTGAAAGTGCATCGCTGCAGTGGCTTCCTAATATCAGAAGGAAGAGCGTTCCAACTGCAGCAGAAATACGTGTTCCATTCTTTGACTACAATTGTCCAGTGAAATTAATGGCGATCTTACGTTTATGTAAATCTTCAAAACATTCCAATGCTTAAAAAGTATTAAATTATTATGTTCATTACGTGTAGTTTATTTAGCAGCGCTGTAGCAGGTTCTGTTACACTTGGCAACTTAATTGCATTATCACTAGCGGTATGTTCAATGTAATACTTTGTGAGTGCGTGTATACATTTCATTTGTACAATCAAAGCTCCATATGTTATGATTCATTTAGATGCGACTTTCTAACCCTCGCGACTATTTTAAGCAAGTAAATAAATACATTCGAAGTGGTTGTATTTGTACATTTGCTTTCTGCGGGAGTATTTGTCTTTGTATGTGTGAAAAAAGGTTTGTGTGTGTTTTTGTTTGTTTGTATCGGGCTGAGCGGTAGTGTTGCGGTTAGCGCACTGTGCTACAAATCTGGGTTCGATTCCCGCTCACGACCAACACCAGTGACGATTATTTGAACCGGTCCTGGGCCTCCACTAGGTCGACTCAGCCTCAAATGAGTACCCGGTGCGGTGTGTAAACATCGCCACTGGAGAGACAAAGGCGGCCGGGCGTGGTGCTGGCCACCCACCCTCTCGTGTGCCGTTCCAGCCTTCGTAGGTGCTCGGTTACAGCACTTGCCCCAGTGGTCTGTAACGGCTATACTAAGGGGGGGGGGGATCTTTGTCTTTGTATTTAATACACATCGTAAATATAGGGTATCATATCCAGGAATTGCCCAATGAGTCTCAAGACCTCTTTTTCATGACGGCCCTGGATTGGGATGTTTGGTTAATTCCTTATTGGGCACTTCGACATGAATATTGAGAACCGTCAGGTTTGAGCGGTGGGGCAGTGGCTATCGCATTGCGCTATTGATCCAGCGACCTGAGTTCCATTGACGACCAACTTCGATGGTGAACGATGTCTGAACCAGCCCTGGTTTCCTCCCCTTAACCAACCTGCACTGACCATCGTGGGGAAGTATGGTCAATCAACCGCCACAACTGACACGGCTTGGGGAGGCCTTCATCCAGCAGTGGATTGACAAAGAATCCGTGGAATTCTTTTTCAAATTTAGCATTGAGGTGATGCTCATTTTTTGCTACCAGTGGTGGAAATTCCACATTCCTA